GGTGTGGGAGGAGAGACGCCTGCTTCTCACATCGCTCTCCTCCCCGCACCACTAGGCCTCCTGTGACAGTTTCTCTCCTCCACGCTGGATGCTGCGCTGTGTCAGAGGGGACACAGAGCAGCACCCGGTGGGGAGTAGAGAAACCAGGGATGTACCGCAATTTTGGCCGAAAGATGGCTTTTCAGTGCATCCCTGGTATTTTTTAAAAAGAGCTTAAAAATAAAACATTAGGTGAAATTTATATCTGCAGTTTATGAAAAAAAGGTCCAAACAAGTAAGAGAAGATGCTGAAAATTCATACTTATTTATCACGCTGAACATTCACCGCATTATTGAATGGAAATAATACAAATCAGTATTTAAGTTTAGTACTATTATTTACACAAAAAGAAGCATTCTCTAATAGTAATTGAGCTTACTTATAAAGAATGACAAACTGAATAGAGTACATCGGCTTTTAATGTTTGATATTTTTTTGAACAAACCACTTTTCATATGTTTTAGAAAATAGTGATCTTAAAAGAAGAGTACTCTGAAAACTCAAACTATACTCAGTGATCTCTGCATTGCAGCCAAAAGAAGTGTATTGAAACCACTCTACTTAAAAACTGCCCACTCCATAGTAGCAAAACTTGTGGGCCAAAGAAAACACTCTGGACCAGTAAACAGAAAGTGGATAGATTTCCCATCGACTACTAGAAAGCGGAGAAGTTTTTTTAAACGGTGACCAGAAAGTGGGAAACATTTTATGAAAACCAAACATTCTAATTTTACAAATAGGGAAATGGTAGAACCTAAACCTCGTGTACCACAGAGTGCTCACAGCTGTCACAATAATGCTGCAGTACAAGCTTGTTATCTTCTACACAGAACGGCATCCCACTACACCACATGTCATATGTCATTACAAAAGTTTGCATACATTTCCCATTCTTTTTTTTTGGAATACAACCAGTTCTCCACTATATAAATCTAAAGACATAATTTTGCCAGCAAACTAGTATACCAGAATTATATACTTTCCATTTATATACAGTACTTGGGTTATTTTATTTCTAGACATGATCCTTTCCTTGAAGCATGGGGGAATTGCAAATAACAAAAAGTCTCCCTAAATACATATATGATTCCCTGCATCCACTCTCCTGAAGCAAAGATCTCCACCTATACATCTCCCAAGGTGACCAGGCAGCTTCTTGGCACACTGGGGGAATGCATCTCTCAATCCCTAAACAAAAAACTACACCCCAAAGGTTAGACCCTGCTGAAGACACTTCTGCTCCAACATCATAAACACTTGCAGTGAGTGTAACTTGTATTGCGGTTAAGAACGTACTACAAACAGACCTGGTCAATGCCGATTGCTCTGAATATGCGTAACAAGGTAGGCCGAGTAGTGTTGTGTTAATTTAGGAGTTACTTTTTTCTTGTTCTATCAAAAAATCTGATGGAGTGGAATCGGACACTGTGTGTCATTTATTAACCACTTGCCGTCCGCCCGGACGGACGGCACTGCAGCATTGGTGGGTTGCCGTCTCCAGACGGCATTTTTTTTCTCCTAGCGGGGGCGCGCACGGGCAAAAAAGACCCGGTAGATATAAACGTAAATACGCGTCCGGTGCACCAGCGCGCGAAAAACACAATGCGCTACACACGTTACATATCGCCGCGAACGTCGCAGTGTGAGCAATCATTTTAGGGCCATCAATCACTGATAACACTAAACTGATGAGCGGTAACAGCTTTTAAAGCGTCGCCTATGGCCAATTTTGGGTATTATCGTTTTTTGAGGTTTCGCGCGCGCACGCAATTTTAAGGCTTGACATGTTTGGTGTCTTTTTACCCCGTCTTTTATATTTTACCAAAAAATTGGGAATAAATGTTTTATCATTTAATATAGGGGAAACAGTTTGGTTTTTTTTCGGTAAATTTTCCTTAATATAGTAAAAAATTAAACCCGTAGTGGTGAATAAATACCACCAAAAGAAAGCTCTATCTGTCCCTAAAAAATGGTATAAAATTAATTTCAGTACAGCGTTGCATGACGGAATAAATGTCAGTCAAAGTACCGCAGCGCTGAATACTGTAAAATGGCCTGGATGGGAAGGGGGTTTAACACCACGGATGTCAACTGGTTAAACAAATTTGCTACTGTGTGTCATTTAGTGAGTTTTGTTTCTACTGGCCTTAATTTTGATGACATGGTCACCAAGGTTCTAACATGGGCTCTCCCAAAGGGGAAAGAATGAAGTCATCCTCATATCTTGCGTTTTATCTATCAGTTTTGTTCTGTTGGCTGTTATGTCCATGTTGGATTATTTATGTTGTCTATAGCCCAGCAAACTATTTGTCTTTAAACCGCAGGGTAAACACAGGGTTACCCGATAGGCTGCATCAATTACTGTTGCCCTCAATCCTCTTTGTACCCACATGTCTAAGGCATTCTGCCACTAAGGAGTGATGGGACACCAACTTCACAGAAAAGCTCTCAAAATCCTTCAGCAAAACTGAAAGCTGATATTGCTATGTTACAGGAAACTCACTTGTCACAATCTGATATGTCCCTTATGCACAAGCCCCGGGCAGGGACAGTCCTTGATGTCCCAGCTGAGGGCCACAAAGCCAGAGTAGTGACCCTCACTAACAAGTCACTGTCTTGTCAGATCTTCAGACACTGTTGCAATCCAGATAATGGCAGATGGTCGATTGCAACTATACTCATAACCTTCCAAGATACTGACTCTGATAAACATTTATGGACCCAACCAGCGAAACCAAACTTTCTTTATATCTCTATTCAATCAAACATTTCAGTACAAGCATTGCAGTCTTCCGCTTATTGGGGGAGGCATTAATGCTGTGGAACATCTCCAGCAGGATTGCTCTTTGCCCACACCACAATCATCTGGCACTTGGGAATGCAAGATGTACTTTTCTCTACTTTTCTCTACTTTTCTCAGGGAACTTCACAGACACCACAAATCTCTTGATAGAGAATCCATCCAGTATTCTCAAACTCATACAGTGATGTCCAGAATTGATATGTTTCTAGCTTCTAAATTCTTAATTCGCAGCATACACTCAGTGGCTATATGTTGATCTCCAATTGCACGCCTGTGTTAATTACATTCCAAAGACTGGGACTTGGAGGTCTTCTGCACACTTCTCTTTTGAAGATATGTTTTTGTCACAGTTTAAAAACCGATGGACAAAATACTGTGGAGGGAATTTATCAAAATTGGAGCAGAGATAATCGGAAGCAGTTGCCCATGGCAACCAATCAGCTTGTTTGTTCAGAAAAGCTTTGAAAATCAAATATGGAATCTGATTGGTTGTCATGCACAGCTGCTCCAGATTCTGTTTGCTCCAGTTTTGATAAATTCCCCTCTGTGAATGTAATGGTATGCATGTTTCTGAACCTGTTTTCTTCTGGGGGGCATAAAGATAGTTCTACAAAATGTTAGCTTATGTGACCACTCAGGAAAGCAAACCTGTAAAGGTTTGTTGATGCTTGCCACAAGGACCCTCCTACCCCACTGATGCCAATAAGTCTAACTGGTTGACAGTCAAAGAGATCTGTGACTATTGGTGGCAGCAATATGATGCAAAGATACGTTCAGTTAGGTACGGGAAATTTTTTTAATATGGCAAGAAGGCCAGTCGTCTTCTAGTCAATATTGCCAGAGGAAGGCCCCCCCTCCTTTTATTTAATGCTTTTATGTTTGCTATACTGCTTTTTATTATACACTGGTGATTGATGTTTCATCTAGCTACAATAAGTGTTCTTTATTGTTTGACTCGATTACCTGTCCCTTTGTAAGTACAGGTGCTACTTTATTGTCCTTTTTGTATCTTGTAAAAAATACAATAAAAATATGTTTTAAAAAATAGTAAACCTAAGCTAGGCACTAGGCAAAATGTGTTTTATACATTGGGTGTGCAAGTGAACAAAGCCATAAATCACAGTTCACACCCTGCTCACATTTTATAAACTGCTTCCATTTCACCTCTCATTTTACATTGAAAGTGAAACAAATTTCCAATTTGGCCCCCTCACTTGCATTTAACCCTTTCGCTGCAAAGCCCTACCACCACTGACACCACTTAACTCTATTACCTGTCCCTTTGTAAGTACAGGTGCTACTTAATGCTCGGTCATTTTTTACTCCTACTAAACACAGAGTCTGGGACATTGTTTACTCTCACTGAGCCCCGGGGACTTTCAATTCTATATTACTCTACTCTCACATAGTCGGCCCCCACTGAAGTCTTAAGGACAGTGACTGGTACTTTGTTTAGAAAGTTTGAGGACCCCTAATTTACAGTAATAAAAAGTTAAATCAAGTAACATTTCAGAACAAGCCAGAAGTGATCTTATGAAATCGATGATAAAATAACTGCTGATTTCAGTCTACTACATTATGTCTCACCATAAAATACCATAAATCAGTGTTTCCTGAGCCACCAGCTCATCAGCTGCCATTTTGACCTGTAAGTTTGACAGGTTTCATTTATCTCTAGAAGGATATTCAGAAACAGCTCAGATCAGTATGGTGGAGTGCCACTTTAACAGAAGCTTATCAGTCACATGACCTGGCAGTGAACTGAATCTGCCTGATGCACCTCCTCCTCTATACAGACCTTGGAGGTTCTTGAACAGAATCTTAGGAATCACTTATGTATAAACTCAAGAAATGCTAAGTTACTCATGCCTTTAAATATTTCTGCAGCCTGGAACTTTTATTTTTTTAAATGCATATAATATTATTGTATTTGTTACCAAGTTTTATGTGTATCCTCATCTTATTATGAAAATACACTGAGCGGGGAAATGCTAATCTTTGTTGCATTATTTGTCATGATAAACAAAACAAAGCATGGGCTGATGCAGAAGCCATGGGTATGATTCAGTAAATAAACTACTAGTAAAATACGATTTACATCCACATGCTCAGCCTACCTATAAAATACAACACTAGGCTTAATATTAAAATACTTACCTCTGGTATTCCCAGTTTTCTACATGCTTCTAGAAAATTCTCCACATTTCTCCTGCATTTAGCCATACTGAGTTTGGGCTGCACAAACAAAAATGATTTCAGTGTTATTAAACAATCTGGCACTATTGTCAAAGTTGTATTTATAATGTTCAGGTGCCCTTGGCGCATGTGAATATGCATGCCTTTTTTCTAAGGTATCCACCAATCTGTTTCCAACTATGTTATATCATTATTAAAGAGCAGTCCTGGTTTTTCAGTATTTGGCAGATATTTGCCTGAATAAGCAAAATGACAAATTATTTGATAAAAGCAACCCTCTGCCCACTTACGCTCACCTTCCCTTTGCTCCTGTGCATCCCATTAGATTCCTTAGGAAATACCTGGTGCTTCTGGGTATGAAAAAGCATATGATCACCTACTATTTTTCCCAAGATGCACTGCTCTGGCCTGAGCGCTTTGAAGCATGCGGGAGGAGGCAGCCATCCACCCTGTGTAAGCTCTGACATTACCTGACACCGAGCTTACACAGGGTTAGGACTCCTGGCTCTGAGAGTGGAAGAAAGCTACAGGGGTGCTTAGCGAAAGTGAGTATAAGTAGGTGGGGGAATTGTTCTTTTAGGAGACTCTGCACTATGCCACCTGACAATTTCATATATCTCTCAGGTACTCTGTTGGTGAGACATTGACATGCAAGGCAAAAATGAAAGGAAACATTTAAATAACATATAATTGTGCTTTAGGGCTTTCCTATACTACACTGCTACCCTATTCATTGGTCGCCAACTGTGTCAAAGAAAAACTGGAGCAGACAAAATCTGGAGCAGTTGCCCATGGCAACCAATCAGCAACTCTGTTCAGTTTGCTCATGTAAGATTTGAAAATAGGACAGAAAAGCAGATTGCAGTGCAAATCTGCTGCAGATTTTGTCTGCTCTAGTTTTGATAAATTCCCCCCTATGTGAGGTCTGGCCCATAAATGGAAGTAATTTATTTTATGTGACTGTTTGCTTTTTCTGACTCTCAAACTAAAAAGTTATATGCAGATAAAACAAATAAAAGGACATCATAATATAAATATAATTATTTAACATTTTACATAAGTTATGGTGACTGGTTCTTTTCAAGTCAAGAGCAGTATGCCTTGCCTGACTGTAAAAACAAATACAAAATGCAGCTTACAGGAAATAGTAAACCAGGTTAGAATGCTGATAATGTATTTGTCCTTTAAATTTTCAGCTTGTACTAATGTCTTTGCATATCAGTGCATTTCAGGCTAGTAGTACAGTGGTTAGCACTGCTGCTTTGCAGCACCTTCTACTTGAGTTTTACTCTGGCTGGACACTTCATCTGCACAAAGTTTGTATAACTTGTATAGTTTGTATGCAACAGTGAATTGTCTACAGAATGCTGCACCATTCCAGATACAGTATTGTAGGATATTTCCCTGGGGTACAGATGCCATTATTCTACTGCCATGACTTCACATATTGCACTAGGATGCTTAACTGGTAGTTATACCCTTGGTGAAGCTTTTCCATTGAGTATCTGAAAAAGGTGTGCAATAGCTCACCAAAACCTTGGTTTTCTGAAACTTTTTGGGTCTCCGCTAAGGAAGAGACTGCTATGGAGATGATGAGAAAGCCAACTGGAATCCAGATGCAGCCAATTAAACTGACCGCACTGGCCACTCCTTGTTCTTCAGAAGTAACATCTGTTATAAATCTGTACAGCAAAATACATTTGATTTTAGACTTACAACAGCTGGAGAGGGCACATGGATACTCCCTACTGACCGGGGGCGGATTTGATTCACTAAGTGACAGAGAACAACTCCATCCATCAAAGCTGATCCCAGCTCTCCGGGAAGACAGACCTTTAATCTGATTTCAATATTCTGGAACCAAAAGAACACAAAAGCAATCAATGTTTTTAAAGCTGTAAACAATATATTTATAATTGACGAATTGTATTATGACCTAAAATGTCTCTATGCCATGCCTTCTTTAGGTGAGGGGTATAGAAAGAAGAGAGTGCAAGCACAGAGAAGGTAAAGGTGTATAGTAGTAAAGGTAGGTGTGCTGTAGATGAGAGGGTGCCATGCCTCTGGTAATATGATCCTAGTGGATGTTGCAGTAAGGGGTATGTTGGTACAGAATAGTACAATAAAGGGTAAACATCTTTCTACTCTGTGAATACTGCCTTGGAGGATTGATTAACATAGCAGAGGGGGAGCAGACTATGTTTAGGAGTGCGTTTTCGAATATTTTCAAATACAGACTTAGGGGTCTATTTATAAAATTTGACACAACTTTCACCCAGGATTCACACATGTGTCAGCTGCATCAAATTAGAAATGTTTGAATCTTGTGTGAAAGCTGTATGAATACATTTATAAATAGACCCAGTGCTGTGGTTTGCAAAGCAATACAAAGCCGTAAACATTTTATGCCAACATTATCACACGAAGCAACACTGTAATGCAAATCTGCCCCAATTTATACATGTTTTCACACAAAATTTATGCAATTTTCACACAGCAGTCATACATTTTAAAATGGAATCCAATTAGAAAACATGTGAATCTTGGAGGAAAGCTGTGTGAATCTTCAGCAAAAGCATTTATAAATAGATTCCATAGTATTTATGTTGTTACAAATGTTTCTTAGAATGAACCTATCATTAAAATCCTCACCTTATTTGAATCAAAAGGGCACGTATCAGCATTATTAAATGGCGTTATGATTTAGTGTTGACAAGAAGCTCTTTGTTATAAGTAAAAACATTCTTGCTATAAAGGTTCCTTGTGTGACCTAAAGCCTAGACAGCTTGCATCATATGGTCAGTAGGAGAAATCAGGGAGACACAATTGAAAGGCTTACTATGTAAAGAGCAAATATAGCTAACCCCAATGTTTCTGTGCATATATAATCACCAACGAAACAAAAGTTCATAAGATTATTTACTTCAACCTGATATAGTTCACATATATAAAATATTTGAAAGGTCATAGTTCAATCTCAATGGTCAACACAAGTCTTCTTTTAACATATATATGTATTCTGAAAGGCTAACCTCACGCAGGTTTTCTAGGAGTTCTTTCTCCTCTCTCATCTGTTCAAATTTTCTTCGTATAGTAAACTGGGGATCCACTGACTCTAAATTCCTCTGTGGCCTCATGAAAACTAGGGAAGAACAAAGCGAATGGATAAGAAAAGCTATACCGTTATATAAAAGGATATGCAAAAGATGAGCGGACGTGTGAGAATGACATGGTGACTACAATGTGTGAATGACTGGGATGTGTACACAATGATAATGGTAAATCCAGCATTCGCACATGCCGTCATCATGAAGGGGTTTATGACAATTTCATTATTCATGTATATTTTAACATAAAAAATAACTGACACGAAGGAGAACTGGAGGAGAAAGTGCACAGTATAAGAACATGGAGCAGGAAATCAAAGTGCACAGAGGCCAGCCACAACCACACTTCTCACACTCCTATTACTCACCCTGTGCAAATACTTGGGTGGAGGGCTTTTTTAATTCTACATGTTATTATGCTGCTTTAATAAAGGAATTAAATGCAAAAGCAATGCTTAAAGTTTTCATGCGATTCTTATGAACTGCTGCTTACATTTTCATCCAATATATTCAATCATCTTTATTTATATAGCGAATTAGTATTAGATACAGCATAACCACTTTTTTTATATCTTCAACTAAACTTGAGAAGTCATTTCTTCATGGGTATGAGAAGGCAGATAGGAACAAAATATTTTGTACTCAGAGAAAGGGGTCAATGCTCTTATGGTTACTGTAAAACATAAGGGGGCCTGGGACAGAAACTAAATGAATGGGCCTATTTTTTTTTTATAAATCCAGGAAATACTTGTATGGCAGAATTGGAAGAGTTTAGCACAATAACAGGAATTTTAAGTTTCCCGACAGGCATTGGTGACCTATGCATGTGAGGGCTGGCATGCAATTGTATCTTTGCTACAATAAAGATTTTATAACATGTATGTGCCCCACAGTATTACTTTGATGGAAGACAGGAATTTTAAGAGTGGGAAATAATAAATATAATAAGGATTTTCTGGGGTTTTCTAAATCATAAAGGGAGAGATCTTTTTCAAGACGATCACAAAGTTCAAAGCTTCTTCCATACAATGGTTTCAGACTTGTTCAAGATATAAACACTATGACTTCTATGGCGAAGGATATGAAAAGCAACAATGTAGTATAACCATTCAAGTTATTGTGAGCTGCGTTTTGTTTTTAGAGCTTGATGTAAGGATTGTTACATCACGGCTATGGTCATTAAATGAGGAATAAACCCCATGTTTTGTTTTTTTACTTGTAATGGCAAATATGACCTTAATACCTTCTGTTTTAAGAAACTATTAACTTATTGCACAGTGGTCATTTTTAAAGCATGCCAGTATTGTCCTTAAGTTTTGCCATGGAGCACTATGTGCACCACTATTACACCCTTTAAGTTTTATTTAGCATGCCATTAGTATCCTTTATTATCCCCATGTTTCGCTGTGGCACTATTGAAAGCTTGAATTTGATTTTATTCAGCCCACTATTATCCCAAAGGTTTCATCACTGTGCACTAATAACACCTCGCATTTTGTTATATAAAACATTAAGATAAAAAAACTCTTTACAGTCTCCATGCTTTTCTGCCCAGTGTTAATGTTCAATTAATCTCATGATAGAAAATACAGAGAAGCATGGGGCAGGGGGAGCGTGTTTAAAAAAAAAAAATTCTCTAGCTGTCAACTATGCTATTTATACCACTACATATATTATTAGGCAGCTGGACATTGGCCTTAAAGCAGTTTCAAATTATTTCCTTCCTACGTTTCCCCCTTATTTCTTTCTTCCAAGACCTCATGAACAGTGTAGGGTATGATCTAGGTAACATTATGGCAGCTTATCGGCAGTTAGCATATTTCTTGTTTTGCTTGTTTCTTATTGTTCTCTTCCCTTATGTCAGTTTTCACATTGTTTATGTTTGTCTGTCTTCTGAAATAATTGTTTTTAACGTTTATGTTCTTTACACTGTTTACTCAATGTTTTTTAAACAGATTATACTTACTTGTAATGTATTTGATCATAACCATTAAACTGATCGTACAAATAAGTTATCCATTATCAAACTAACTTAACAAGCTAGAGCAGAAACTTTTGCAAACATGCTAGTTAGAATGGCATTTAGGTGACTTTAGGAATTTGAGGACATTTACACAAAGTGTGGCAATGGCCTGAACCACCACTAGAGGGATGCAGTGTACTGTAAACGGATCTTGTTTATGTTATGTGCTATTTTCCCTTTTATGTCATTGTTCAAATGTTTTCTATGTATCTCTGTTATTCACTTTGTACAGTGCCGTGGCACTGTATAATCAACATAGGCTGTGGCCTAGGCTGGCAGATATACCAAAGGAAGCACACAGTCACCCATATGTCATGCTGCTGGCTGTCAGTTACACATTCTTGTGTATAACAAACAGTCCCAGAATGTCTACCTGTCTGCCAGTGCATTCCAGCAATTTCCTCATTGTTGCTGCCCTGCAAAGGTTAGTGTATTTTTGTTGGTGGCATAAAAATGTGTGTATAATTTACCCTTGGAGCTGCACACTAAGAAACCAAAGTTCTGGCAGAGTAGGCAGACAGATTGACCTACTCTAATAGTCATCAGTTCTAGGTTAACAAACCCAGGGCTGAGCTACATATTTCATGCATTCCATCTCCAGACTTGGTATGTCTTGTGTGGCTATGATGTCTCACGCTGTTAATTTAAGGTAGTTGACTGGGGTAGAAGGCAGCTGGCCTGAAGTAGGGTAAATCTGACCCTAAATGTGGCATATCTGGTCTTTTGCAATTGTCAGCTGAAGCAGAGAAGTCTGGTTATTGACTAATTCTAGTGGTTTTCTACTGTTTAATTTCCAAATATGGTGATCATTATTATATATGTCACAATACCAGCTGCGAAACAGGTTTTCATTAACAGGCAATCTGTTTTATCTAAGCTGAGCTGTAATCAGCTGCTCAGCAAAATATATTAAACATACAGAATGATATACACATTCAAAATGATGCAGGTGGCATGAGTTATAAAACAATAAAGTGAAAACTACACAATGTGCTGCATGGACACGGTGATAGGAAAAGGGAGATATTCTCCCTTAAGACATGCAGCTGATGGCTGATGACCCACAGTACCAGTTTACAGTAACCTACCATTGTCAATGTCTCCTTCTGGTGCCATGTCCATGTTATAACTGTCCCAATTTTGTGCCTGTGTAATTTTGTTGAAGGAGATAGGAGGAAGAGTGAGGGACGGGTCTGTAGGAGAGGGGGTGTCAGAGGAGGTCCGTATAAAGCAAAAGAGGACCAGAATAAATCATATGGGCTACGCAGTATTTATGAAAAGCATTAAACAAAACAGACTAATTTGTTAAAATACAAACCGGAATGAATGAATATGCTGAATTAAAGAATTCTGGTTCCTGTGGGGAGTGCAGTTCTATTTTGGACCAGAAGAGGCTTCTATCCCCCTGTATAATTACAGCTGTTACCCCCGTCCCTAACGTAGCTGTGACACGATCTGTATGGTGTTTTAGCCAATTTGCCATTTTCTCAATTGAGTTCTCTATGTATTTTGGAGAATCCTTTAAAGCCCAGGTGCCCAACACATGGCTTACCAACATTCTTTTTGCAGCCTGCTGGGTGTCCTGGGCTGGGTCCCTTTGTTGGGCACCTTTACACTAGAGCAGTGGTTCTCAACCTGTGTAACCTCAGGACCCACATTTATCCTCTGTCATTAAGCCCCGACCCAAGTTGCACTGCAATAGAACACATGGCATTGTGGTACCGCACGTTGTTGATGTGGGCGATAGAACTGTGGGTGGGAGATGCATTTGGGGTGCCAATCAAATGAATGGAAATTCAATGCACCTGCTGCACCAAAAAGTGTGGTAGGAGCAATTGCATGGTACTGTGCGTTATTTTGCGCGGGACCGTGCGATTAACGCACTGTACTAGTGTGAATGGGCCCTCAAAAACACTGACACACACACACTCAACCACAGACAGTCTCACACACACACACACACACTCCCCCAAAAAAATATTTAAAAGAAAAAAAATCCACCCAGTCTCCCTACCTTACGAGAACTGGAGTGGATCCTCAGCCTGGGATCCAGTGTGGGCTGCTTTGCTGTGACGGAGCTCCTTCCATATGTGCGTTGCTTGTACAGCTTCCTTGCACATGGTGTAGAGGCACCAGGAGCCAGAATGTGACATCACTCTGGTCCAGGCACCTCTACAGGACATGCAAGTAAGCAATGCAGGTATGGATGGCGCTACCTCGCGGCCATAACCCCATCTCACCCCACCTCAAGCTGACACTCGGCGCTGGGCAGCATATTTTGAATGGCTGCTCAGCACAAGAACTGACAGTGCTGCGCTAGGGGGAGGCTGAGGAGCATCTCACCTAGAAAAGGGGAAGCATGCGGCAAACCACTGAACACTTTTGGGTCACAACCCACCAGTTGAGAATCAAGGCACTAGAGGATGCAGAATATAGAAATGCCAAAAACCTGCCCTGCATTCTTCAAAGGAATACACAGAGAATTCATATGTTGCTGGGGAAAGAAGGACCTTAGCCTAAATATTATGTTCGGACAGTTATGGTCATGCCAGGTAACCAGACATCAGCAAAGACCTAATAAATTTAAAAATATAAAAAGCTCTCCTCACTGCTGGGCACTGGCTGCAGGGGTATGTGTCCCCTATGATCTCTGCTGGGAGCAGCGGGGATCAGAGGGGACACAGAGCCGATGAAACACTTGCTCCCAGCATGGAGGAGAGAACTAGGTGATTCACATCAACTAAATCGATAATGAGAATCATTGACAATAATTCTCATTATCGATTATACTGGATCAATCAATTAGTTGGTTGCAGCCCTACTTTAGACTGTACAAAAATATCAAAAAGACTATTCAAAACTAAATGATTAACTGATCAAACACAAAAATAATTTAAACATTTCAAAAGATGTTTTAATATTATTATTAACTGATTATACATTAAACATTTTTAAAGAAATATTGGATCCAGATCATACACAATATAGTTGCATATTAATAAAACCATATAAATCATTAAAGTTATATCAGATATCTTCATGTAATTAACAATCTTTCTTTTCTATTTCTACATTACATTCTCTGATTATAGTCAAGTGAATTTATACATTTGTTTTTGGAGCTTTTACTAAAAAAATCTTTATTGCAAAACCAGTATAACATGGCATGTTTTTCATTCTTTCATTATTTTGCTATGAATACATCGGGACATACAAAATATTATTGTACAAAAGCATGGTAGTGTAAATAAAGTTTTGTTAGAATGTAGTAAAATGTATCATTCACAGTGGAATATACTGTATTTCTGGTATTTGCAGAGCCTCCGAAATCACCCAAAACAGGTACTCAGAAATATTCTTTTAGGATGCATCAAGTAGGCTGTACCAGAAATATATCTTATAAATAAATCTCTGTTGTGTAGATTAGAGATCTCACATTAAACAGTTCTTTCGTGTTCACGATACTCAAAACTAGCCAAAAATGGAAATTGGGGATCAGTAAAACCAAAGAACACTGCATTACTACAAACTATATAACTATGCAGTGCTGAATGTAACACACCAATATCAAGTGATCTGATGTAAGTAATTATTTAAAGTAGATAACCAAGAAAATGGACTGTAGTGAATGCTAACTGAACAACTGTATTCCATTTTGAAAGAAAAAAGTACTGTTCTAAGCTGTCCAGGCTTATTTCCAAGCAAATTTTTCTAGCCATAGGTGGTGGTGATCCCGAGATTTGCCCAGTCTCTGCTCAATCCACTGTGTAAACATTTTTGCAGAGGTACACACTCAGCCAGAGCTCCTCTCTGAAGCTGTTCCCCTGCAGTTAGGGCAACCACATAGAGTCTCCAATATTGAAGAACTCCAGGCAAAACTCTTATTAATCCCACCCAGCACTGCAAGGGTTAACTGTTCATTTTCATCTAGTTGCTAAAATAATAAAGTTATACTCGCCCATTCCTCAGAGCCGGCTTGCTCTTAGACTGATCCATCCAGCCTCGCTCCCCCTCCACTGCAGCGGTCTAAGGATCCTTGACTCATCCCATCCAATACAAAGTGTATTGGACGTGAGGATGCGGAGGGACATACCATCGCTGTAGCGTAGAAGACAGGCTGGAAGGAGCGCTTTGAAAGTCGGCCGGCTCTGAGGTGTGGCCGAGTATAACTTTTATTTTAGCACCTAGACAAAAACTAGAAATTAACCTGTGCAGTGTGGGCGTTCTTTAAGCCTCAGCTGCAGATAAAATACATCAGAGATGAGTGCTGGCTGAGTGCGAGCTTCAACAGACATGCATAAAGTTGTTCTTAAATTGACTAAACTGAAGTGTTGCTTTCCATTCTCACACAGTAGATTTTATGATTGCATCACAAATGATCAGATTTTTCTAGCATATGGTTATAGAAATAAGATCTGTAACTGCAGATAACAGGTTTTGGTGGAAAGAAAGATTCAAGTGTGATCCTACTAGGGAGGGTCCCAAATAAACATGTTTTCCTGAATCTCCCTTTAAGTACATCAGCTATAGGTTGGACTTGATGGACTTATGTCTTTATTAAACCTTAAATACTATATACCTTTCTATGAGGCTGCATTCAGTCTCCTCTGTATCATACATGCATTTCTCTTGAAATCAATTGAAATAAAAGTATTTCTACACACATTGTAACTGTATGATAGGTCACACATTTTTGCATACAATGCAAAGTGCCTGCAATGCATGCTAAAATGTACATCAACATGCATTTTCATGAGTATCAATTGAAAATGCATGAGCTTAAAAATAGACAGGTATTATTGCAACCTTAGACCGCTCTAGTTTACTGGCAGAGTTATTGGCAGAGAACTCTGCAGAAAAACTCCCAAGAAAACAGTCTGTGAGATATTAACACAACTAAGTGCATTTAATAATATACTACAAACAGCAGTGGTATACAAAAAAGAAATACGATCGATCACTGTATAGGCACACTACTAAAAGCAAAATTCTGACTGATAATGATGGGCTAATGAAGACTACTGCCCTTTAGGCCCGGAGATTTCTACACAGTACTAGAGGAAGACATACATTTGACATATCACATATGGGTTGATTTCACATTGCTTGTAACTAATATTATATAGCATTTTAATGCAGAGTTGAGCTGCAACTTATAAAGACCTGTCTGACTGTAGGTAATGCCAAATCAGAAAATAAAACAATTTTTTTTTTAAACTACATACTGTTCTATACTGTTCACTCATACAAATTAAAATATATTTGAACATAAGGAGTAAATAGGTATTTTTATAATAATATGAATAATATGGAACTTACCTGATCGAGACTTCAGACCAAATGCCACAGAGTTGTGTAGTGGAGACATGCTAGGAGTATTATTTTCATTCTGCAAAGATAATGAAATACACATACTCAGTACATCCATGTAACACATGCAAATTTCCCCTGCAACTTCAATACATCACAAAACACATACCAACTGCATATAATGGTACTGGTCTGAATGGGACTGTACAGTTAATAGTGACAGATTTAAATTCTTCCAGGTGTAAAAACATTATAAACAACTAAAATATGTCAATGCAGCTATCAATTAATACCAGAGAAAGGAATGGAGGGTGCTGAGCTACACAATATCTGCATGCATGAATAGTACTGCACACTAAGATGTCACAATAATAAAAGCATCCCCATAATCAATTTAAAAATATGCTCTTTTTTGGACCTAGTATGACAAGTTTTATGATACTGGACATACAACCCCAATGCCCAAAGAGTGTAAAATCTACATAAAATCAGAATGCAATGATTTGCTAATCTCATAAACCCATATTGTATCCACAATAGAAAATAGAAAACATATCCAATGTTTAAACTGAGAAAATGTATCATTATAAGATAAAAATAAGGTCATTTTGAAATTGATAGCAGCAACATGTCTCAAAACATTGTGACAGGGCCATGTTTACTACGGTGTAGCATCCCCTCTTTTAACAACATTCTGTAAACATCTAGGAACTGAGGGGACCAGTTGCTGGAGTTTTGGTAGAGGAATGTTGTCCCATTCTTGCCTGATATAGGATTCTAACTGCTCAACAGTCCTGGGTCTTTGTTGTCGAATTTTTCATTTCAAGATGCACCAAATATTTTCAGTTGGTAAAAGGTCTGGACTGCAGGCAGGCCAGTGAAGCACCCCGGACTCTTCTACTACGAAGCCATGCTGTTGTCCTAGACGCAGTGTGCAGATTAGCATTGTCCTGCTGAAATATGCAAGGCCTTCCCTGAAAAAGACATCCTCTGGGTGGGAGCATATGCTGCTCTAGAACCTGTATATATTTTTTAGCATTAATGGTGCATTTCCAGATGTGCAAACTGCCCATTCCATACACACTAATGCACCCCCATACCATCAGAGATGCAGGCTTTTGAACTGATCACGTATAACAAGCTGGAAGGCCCCTCACCTCTTTAGTCTGGAGGGCGCCGCTTATGGTTGCCAAAAAGAATGCAAAATTTAGATTTGTCTGACCACAAAATAGTTTTCCCTTTGCAAAAGACCATTTTAAATGAGCTTTGTCCTAGAGAAGACGTTACTGGATCATGTTCAGATATGGCTTCTTCTTTGTATTACAGGGCTTTAACTTGCATTTTTGGATGGCACGGCGAGCTGTGTTCACAGACAGTGATTTTTGGAAGTATTCCTGAGCCCATGCAGTGATGTCCATCACAGAATCATGCCTGTTTCGGGCCCTTTCCCTTGCACACAGAGATTTCTCCAGAATCTCAGAATCTTTCATATGATGTACTGAAGATAATGATATATTGAAAGTCTTTGCAGTTTTACATTGAGGAACATTATTCTGAAATTATTCGACAATTTTTAGACCCAGCTTTTTTAGATTGGAGATTCTCTGGCCATCTTTACTTCTGAGACACTCTGACTCTCTAAGATGCTTTTTTTATACCCCAATTATGTTAATGATCTATTGCCAATTAACCTAATTAGTCGAAAAATGTTCTTCCAATTCTTTCTTGTTTGTACCACTTACTTTGCCAGCTTTTTGTTGCCCTGTCCCAACTTGTTGGAGATGTGTTGCTACCATCAATTTCAAAATGACCTTGTTAATTTTCTTAAATGGTGCATTTTCTCAGATTAAACATTTGAGATGTTTTCTATTTTCTATTGTGAATAAAATATGGGTTAATGAGATTTGCAAATCATGCAATTCTTTTTTATGTAGATTTTACACAGCGTCCCAACTTTTTTGGAATTGGGGTTGTAGTTTCCAGACTATTCCTCTTTAAGGATGCAATATTTTTGCAAGTGTTTACTAGATATTGCCATTATGAATATTATAGAACATAATCCATATATGAACAAACAAACAAAAAAACACCTCATGCATTATTATGATTATGTTTGTTGGGGAAAACATGTTGAAGGAATTGTAAGCTCCTGCCAATATTTTCTTTAAAGTGTAATGAAAAGACATCAATAAATAATACAGTGCAAGGATTTGAAAACCCTATTCCCAATCCTGTCTGTTCTGCAGAAGGACAATGACTGAAATCTTTATAAATATCTGCTAAGTGGATAGCACCGCCCTAACTATAGCCATATCAATTAAAAGCTTTGTGAAAACACTGAGGTTTTTTTTAGGTGCCAACACATACAAAATGTTGTATTAAAACCACTGTACCCTCAGTGTCCATTTAGATTTGCAAGGCCCTCATCAAATAACAAAACTCTCATTTCTATAAATCTAAGGACACTATTAGAGATGTCAGTGCTTTAAAATGCAAGGACTTTAGGGAATGGTCTCAATAAATTAAATACTGTTACATACAAGGTCAAAAAACATGACTGACTGCAGATGAACAAATTATAAAATAGTTTGCTTAGCTTGGGGAAAGGGGATTTTATTTAGAGTACACGTGTTAGCTTTAGCTTATAAAAACAGAGAGCTGGCCCATGTCTCCCTCCTTATCTAGTAGGGCTGCCCAATTTACTGTTCATGCAATGGGAAAATAACTGAATTTGAGTCTGAAATCTTTATTACATTTAGAGGATTTTACTTTCTGTCATTTACTGTTGAGGAGCAAAAAGAATGATGTATTGTGCTTGAGCACATAGAATAAAAAAGAAATATAAAAGCCGTTTAAAATGAATTTTTTTTAAATGTAACCCTTGACGTGATTCAATATACTTTGTAAATGAAACAATTCAGATCAAGCATAAGGATTTAAAGAGCTTTACATTGTTGTGCCATGCATATACACATATTATAACCCACCTCTTCCTCTGAGTTATGACATGCTTCAGTCTCATTCAGAGTGTCAATCTACACATTGGAAGCAAATTCAAATAGTTAGTATATTTAAAGTAAAAATTGTCTATTGTCTGCAGGCAAATTTGAAAAACACAAGAATGCCACACCTGAAGAGTGCTGTAATATTGTTAATGACTCATTTTTGTTTTTTTTAGGCTTATCCAAAACAATGTTACTAACAACAAGTTTTAGAAATAATCTATGCAACGTTTTATGGGACATATAAATAATTACCTGCAATATTGGAGACATCTGTAGTTCCACTTGCCCACTGTAGGGGACAAATAAAAGTCCATTAGGCAAGAAACATGAAGCTGTGCCTTACGCATGCATGTAATATACTTTACTATGGTAGATAAACACACTTTACTGTAGTCCGATTTGGATCAGATGAAGTCTGTGCATTAAACATTTCTGTGTGGTCTTCAAGTTCCATTCTTAATCTGGAAAATAAAAATGCAATCCAGTCTAAGCGGAATGTTCTACAATTGTAACGAAAATAAAAAGATAATCATGTTCATAGCAGCCAATCTTATTCCAGATATCATGTTCCTAGTGCATGCTTATAAATGAAAGAAACATTACGGTTATTAGCTGTACAGCCTCATTGTGCCCCCTCCACTTTTACATAATATCCCTTTTAGACTAATGTACATTGATATAAATATTTAGTACCTCCACATAAACATATGATGGCATGACTAATGGAATTGTGACCCCCTTGAAAGAACCAGGCCAATGTATGGCCAAATATAAATAGTTTATAACAAATAAAACTTGGTCTTACCATTACGCAACATTCCTTGCAGAGGAATAAGGGATTATGTCTAGATGCTATATAGAACCTTATGAACAAAGTGTAAATAAATGTAATCCAAAACTACCATATACTAGATGCTGTAAACCTACCCAATCTTGTCACTGATGATAAATCAGGGGATATTGGTGTAGAAGCACACACTGATATAAGGTGACGACCAATAAACTCTGCCAAGCACTGTATAGAGATGTAGGCTTCAAACCTGTTAAGGATTTTGACATGACCACCAACATGCAAAAATGCAAAGCATGCAGCTCAGCATACTGTAGACTTTTGTGTAGCCAGTCCAAAAGTACATACAGGCACCTCATAAAGCCTGTCCCTCACATGGTGCACACCTAATGGCGAGAGGATGGAGTAGTTACATCACACTAAGGTAACATTTTACCGATAGGGCAGTAGTAGTGTACACAGGACAAAATGGGTGAGGAAGGGCCGAGTGGACAGATGTAAAATAGGGGGACAGCTTAGGAGCTGAATCTGGAAACCGGGAATCTAAAAGCAGGGAAATAGAAGCATTAACATGTTCCTGTGACAGAACAATTGACTGGCAACACAAGGACTCAATAATATATTACACAAATAAAACTTGTTTTAACAACAAAAAATATATCCGTGAAAAATCTAGGGAAGATTGATTCAAATATGAGGTCTGCGATTTGAACCCAGAACTCAAAAGTTCAAGCAGAACCCTCAAGAGCTCTGGTGCATGCACACTAACACCATAGGCATTGCCAATGACTCAGAACTTGCAGAGTTCTCATACATTGTATGTATATATCCAGGACCTCTCTAGAGTCTCTCCCACCCTCTGGAACTCTTTACCCCAACCTGTCCGACTATCTCCCACTCTGACTGCCTTAAAGGAGAACTATGAGGTGTGCTTTTCACTCACCTCATAGTTCTAGCCGACCTGTGACAATGAGACTGTCACAGGTCGGCTCAATAGATCGGGAAGTGAGCGAACACATACCGGCGTTCGCTCACATCTCGATCCTGTCACAGCTCTCTGCCGTGACAGGGGAGGGGCTGGATTCCCACTCCCCGCTCCGATCCTCCAGCGCTGACTGGCGGAACGGATGGGGGAGGGGCGGGTACAGCTGGCTCTGTCTCTAAATAGGCAGAGCCAGCTGTCACTCATGCAGCTGGGCGGATCAAGACATAATTGTCGGGATCCGCTTCAGCTGCGGCGTCTCAGCTCGCGGTATACTGCGGCATCTCAGTATATCGTGAGCTGTAGCTCACGGTATACTGAGCTTAGGGTGACGGGAGGGCGCTAGTTTGTGTCCTCCCGTTACCCTAAGGAGAACTATGGGGAAAAGCCCTAACCCCATAGTTCTCCTTTAAGGCAATCCTCCTTTAAGACTCATACTTTCAGGGAAGCCTATCCCACCTCAAACTAACCACTCAACCATCACATTCTCAAACAATTCCTCCCCACACAGCTACCTCCTCATGTATCACTTTCCCCTCCCTTTTAGATTGTAGGCCCTCCTTACTATCTTGTCTTGAATTGTATTGTGAATGTAATGTCTTCCTTATATTGTAAAGCGCTGTGCAAACTGTTGGCGTTTGAATAATAATAATACCTCATATATTGTCAAAAATGAATTGTTGGTATGTTCTATATTACCATACCGTGAATGCTTTCTACCCAACACCAGTCACATGCATCATATAAAGCGGGAGATTAGGCTAAATAGGGAAATAGAACTCTAGAAAACCTATTGGTACTGAATTGTAAAAGAAATTAAGGAATATAGGTACTGCCCTAAGCAACCAATCTTATGGCAGTATCTTTAATGTTTGATTTTTTCTTGATAAATAATTGACATATATCCAAACTTAGCCAATAAACAGAATATGAAAAAAACATTTTGGTCCTGTGCTTTTAAGCTGGGTCATTTTGCTAAAAGGCTCCAAGTTACGCCTGTGCATAAATAAGGGTCATCAGTTCCCACTAACACAAAAGTTACATTGAGCTATCTAATGTCTATAAATTACTCTAAAAATGATTAATTACTGGCTGCATAAAATAAAATAAGCAGTCTTTGACAAAAGAACATTACTGATTAAATGGCAGAGTGCATTGTGGAGAGAAGGAGCATTTTCAGGTATAACTATATAAAATGAATCACTACCGTCCAGCTGTTCCCCATTCCTCCCATCTGTGATCAGAGCAGCTTTCAATTTTTAGAGATACACATTTGACATGTTTTTTTTTTTAGGACAGATAACACTTCTGGTAGGAAAAACATCAAATAATGCAGCTGTTTTTTGTTTCAAACTAATGAAAATGGAATGAACATGTATTTGTCACAAACAAATCTGACTCAGGAATACCTTATAGGATCTTGTAACATATCAACTGCTTCTCTTAACTGTTCTATCATTCCTGCATTTATTTCTTCATGTTCCAAACTATGTTTCCTGCAAAGAAAACAAAATTAAAATATTTTAGCGAAATTCTTATAATTCTGGTGATCACTATGCTGAAGTGAAAGCAGTATGGGTGGCTTCATTATTCTGGTTACAGCACCAAGTCTTAATCCTCTGAATGATCTCTCAGACAGTTGTCACCTGGACAGTGTCCACATATAGAAATTTTCAGTCATCTCCGGACCTGGTGATACCCATAACATTTTGCATTTCTCTTCTTTTTGTGATGGAATAAAGGCCACCCAGACAAATGGAAAGAGAAAATCCCCCGTCAGTCACACAACTAGCAATAAAAACCTGATAAAGGCTGGACTTTACCTAGCAACCTCACCCGTATGTACAGCCAAGCAAAAGGACAGATTTGCAGTTTTGCCTACTTGCCTGGCCAGAACAAGGAAAATAAAAGGGAAAACATTCCAGGGAAAACACAAAATTCAGGAATAAATATGTAAAGCTGACTATTTATTTTTGCATAGCAAGGATGCTGGTGGAGTGGGAAAAGGTAATTACATTCTCTTAACAAATTGCTGAGAGAAGAGATTGGAGCATACTTAACAAATACATATTTTGACCTGGAATATGAAATGAAGACTGACTATGGGGCTCATTTACTAAAGGAATAAACGTTGTTTACTTAGCAAAGTGAGTGACCACCCAGCTGGATGAGAAAGGGGAGGCTTTATTAACTTCAATCATGAATTCTGTTTACTTATATTTCCCTCAAACATGACTGCATATTCAAAGTGAGCACAGCTTTACCTTCTTCTCCAAGCTAAGTTGAATATTAGGTATACTTTCCAAAGTAAACAATCACTTTGCTAATTAAAAAGTCTCTATTGGTTTAGTAAATCAACCCAAATATACTGCTTCTGTGTGATCTGGACAACGCAGTATCAATTAGGCACAATGTAAGATTCAACACTGATTTACACATCTTTCTCATTAGTTATACAAGTACTGATTCTGCTTTTTACAGTCATTAAAGGGAATCTATGGTCAAAAACTGAAAAAAATATGTGTTTCTATATTGAATTTCCATAAGTTCTATCCCACTCCTAATAACCTTATCCATCTGGAAGTTTATAAACGTACTTACTGAAGATGTCCATACGATGTACTTCCTCAATGCACTGACACAATTTAAAGGAGAACTATAAGGTGAGTGATTTTCACTCAACCTCATAGTTCGAGCTGACGTCTGACTACGAAACTGTCACACATCGGCTCAATAGTTTGGGAAGTGAGCGAACACATACCGTCGCACGCGAACCTCTCGATCATGTCCCTGCAGAGAGCCGTGACTGTCACTCACCGCTCCCTGCAGGGATTCCCCACTCCCTGCTCCGATTCTCCAGCGCTGACTGGCGGAACGGACGGGGAGGGGCGGGTACAGCTGGCTCTGCCTTTAGATAGGCAGAGCCAGCTGTCAATCACGCAGCTGGGCGGATCTTGACAGTAATGCCGGGATCCGCCCCGGCTGCGGCGGTCTCAGTATACCGCGAGCTGTGGCTTGCGATATATACTGAGCTTTGGGTCAAGGGAGGACGCTAGTTTATGTCCTCCCATGACCCTTAAGAGAACTATGGGGAAAAGCACTGACCACATATTTCTCCTTTAACTTAGCCCTGTGAATATGTACTTCCCTGCCACAACTCACACAAAGCCATGTAAAAAAGCAATGTAGTATTATCATTATTTTCTGGAAGAAATACATGATGGCAAACGTATTCTAGAGAAATCAAGACAGCATCACATCAAGCAGCAGGGAAAGAGATACAAAGCACACTGGGAATCCAGCAAGTTGCTGAAAGTGAAGGGCAGACGTAAGGCAGCACTCATTACATAAAAGATTTTTTTAACGTAAGCTTTGATTGCATTATCATAAACAACTATAATATGTATTGCTATTACAATGCTGATGTTATATCAGATTAGTATAGGCTGGGACTTTACAACTCCTTTAACAGAGAAGCACAAACAACCTCATAGTTGACTGCTGTCCTAGAGTTTCCACATAATGATTATAAAACACTGACGTTAAAGGGGGGATGGAGGGTGCTATTTGATTTTGGGTCTGTTTTAAATCCCATGATTCACACTCACCTGTTTTGTATACACCACGGAGTTTCCTCTTGTATTTGTAAAGGTTCATCAAATCCAGCTGATTTGGACTGTAGTTAGAAAAACATAGTTAGTCACTATGGTATAGCTGGAGAAAGTTTGATCAACATATGATGCATTAGCTAATGTTTTCTAAAATCTCAGGCAGGAATACATATAAAACACACGGCACTCAGTGTGTACTGCAATAAAATAATTGGCTTATTTTTACATAAAAAGTTCAAGTAAAACATCAATAATTAGTAATAAAAATGTAAGTCAATATCCACATTCAGAACAGCAGTTCACAGTTATTTGCCATATCTAAGGATGCAGGGGATCTCAATGGGTTAATAGTTATTGACTTCTTTGCATTATATTCTGAAACTGAATTAGTTATTTGCTGTATTTAAGGATGCTGGGGATCGGATCTCAATGAACTAATGAGTATATTATTTTATTACTAGGCTTTTTTAATGTAATGAGCATCATTTTTTGCTGTACGTGTTGGATAGAGGAAAGTGGTGTGACGTCATTGCACTGTGGCCCCATGCAGTTTCAGCTGGTGGTGTGCGCTGCTGAGTCGTTGCCAATATTCCTTAGTGCTGGGACTGACTGTGCGTTTAACTGGTTTTAATCGTTTCAGTTATAAATAAATTGAATTACGCTATTGGATTTCTCTTCTTTTGGTTTTAATTTATACAATTGGGAGTATGGTGTGAGAACAAGGAGGTGGACCTGGATTTTCATGATGAAAAGCTGTTTTTGCCCACTTAACATAGGAGGTGTACTTGGTAAATCTGTTTTCATATGAGGATGTTTCTTTGGGAATAGATGACACTAAAAAAGCACTTTGTGTGGGTATCTTGCACAGGTGCGTGAAGTGGATTATTCCTTTTTGCTACACACACATTTTCTTGCCCTTGGAACTATATGGACATATAAACTAGGATATGATATTTGGACTTTTTGTCACTTTCTGTTAAAGTACTTTGAGTGATAGTTTGCATTACATTTTGTGATTTATTTATTATTAAGGTGCTGTGTTTTATTACTTTTATAGTCTTTTTTAGCATGCGGTATTGACACAGCTGCTGTATTAATAGTAATTCAATATCTCTGCACTTTATCAGTATATTTTGCACTTAATTTTAGGATAGCACTGTATTTTAAAGATTTGAATAGTGTAGAAGGGTATCCAACAGCAAGTTATAGATCCATATTCACATACATGCACACAGCATACTATCTTTCTATGGCCCTCTATATACCAGGGGTCGACCAATTATTATCGGGTCTACCGATAACACTGTGGAACAAAGTTTTTATTGCATTTATACTAGCACTTATTCTTACCTAATTGGAGTGTGCTGAATTCAAATCTGAAGTTAGTTTTTCTCTGTAAGCACTAGATTTTATGCAATTCAACATTTAAATTTTTCGCAACATTTTTACACCTCTCACATGATGACATGGTCTATCTGAGGAATTTATGGTCACGCAGTCTTAAAATTGCACTTAAACAACCGTCTTGGCAAAGATATTCTTTATGTATTCACAAAAATGTGTAGGTGCATCACAATATGCATTACATTTTGAAAAAAGGAAAAAAGGCAAAAAAATTACTTATGTGGAGTAAAATATGTGTCGCCACTTGTCAAATCGGAAACATTTATCGATTATAGTTAAATATGAGTATGCACTAATTTTTTACTTTAATTTAACATATCTTTCAACATCATAGATGATAGGCGATTCAGAACAACTGATTAGGATGGGATGCAAAGTTCAAATATAACCTATTCAGGCAAGAATTTGCACTTGTAGCTGTGACGTTAGTGAACTCGCAAGACGATCTCATTTGATGCTCCAGCAGTAGTCTGCCATCATATTTTTGTCCCATCGCCCCTTGATAGCGCCGTGCCATCATCATGAGGCGTTGATAGAAGTGCTCTCCCTGTTCATCACTAACAGCCCTAAGGTTCGCAGGGAATTGATCAGGGTGACTTTTCAGGAAATGGAGCTTGACACTCATGTTGCATCCAAGATCGTGAAAAGCCAACAGCATTCTACTAACAAGAACCTCATAGTTCTCTGCCTTTTTGTTACCAAGAAAGTTTTGTATAATTGCCACAAAAGACAGCCATGCTGCCTTCTCCTTGTTATTCATCTTCCTGACAAATTCCTCATCACGTACAAGGGCACGAATTTGGGGTCCAACAAACACACCTGCTTTGATCTCCTCGAAAGACAAAGCAGGAAAAGCAGAAACTATATGTAGAAAACATTCACCATCAGTACTTAATGCCTTCACGAACTGTTTCAGTAAGAAAATCAAGTAAACCAGAAACATTTCTATAATCCAAAATTAACAAAAAATAAAGAATATTGACGATTGTAAAAAAAAATAAAAAAGCCTAATTAGTCTAAGGATAGGGTAGATGTAAGTCTAGTTTGCAAGCTATCCCTAGTGTAAATAGCAATGGGTGTCCCTTTTTTTGTGAAAATCACAAGCTTCAAACTAGTGCATGTAGAGGAAAACTGATTTCATATTTGAAATCAGAGATTACAAAATAATTAGAATCAGTTGAAAAATCTCATGCAATAGAAAATAAGAACAAAGTTGTTCCACAGTGTAATCGAGGGGGATATTCACATAATTTTGAAGTATCTGTATCGGTTTTGAATTGGTCGATATTAGTGACAGTGAAGGGGAGCCTCCTCCCCACCCCACTCATCTGCCAGTGGCTAGATTTCGCACCCAGCAGCTGCATGTAAACAGCAGGCTGTGGGCAGTGCAATAGCCAGTCTGCTATTGGCTATTTCAAATTGCAATAGCCAATAGCAGGGTGGCTATTGCATTGCCACTGCTTGCTATTAAATCAGCAGAGGAGCGGACCTGAGAGAGAACTTTCAGATCCGCTCCTTTGCTGATTGACAGCAGACAGTGGGCAAGTGCAATAGCCAGTCTGCTATTGGCTATTGCAATTTCAAATAGCCAAAAGCAGACTGGCTATTGCACCTCCCGCTGCCTGCTGTTTACATTCAGCTGTGGGATCTAGCCGCCAGCAGATGATTGGGCAGCACAGAGGCTTCCCTTTACTGCCATCAGTAGTAGGGGTCGATCGACAACAGCCCCATTGCCTGCTGTTTGCATTAAGCTGCAGGCTGCAGAATCTTGCCGCCAGCAGATGAGAACATAGATCAGTAAGCGGGCTATGTGTTTATCTGCCGGTGCAAGAATCTGCAGCCAGATGTAAACAGAATATCGGTACCCGAAATCGGTTATTGGTCTGAAAGGTGGCCCATAATCAGTATTGGTTCTGAAAAAAAAACATATTGGTCAACCCCTACTATATACCTCTTCTCCATTTAAATGTCCCATGGCTGCCCACAGATAATATCAAAACATGTAATTAATTTAAGTGAATAATTGACACCACATAGACCTTTTCAAACACTACTTTCTCTTTTTTAAGTGACTTGCACTAGATGATTTCCTGCTGCAGAAGTGCAATATACAATACTATACAATACCTGGCTGTAACTTATACATTTCGTGCATGTGGCATCTACATCTGCTTTACACTGGCACATTGATTTTTCTGACTCATGAGCAGAATTTAGGACATAATCTTGATGACATTCAACTACACAGAAAAGAATGAGAAAAGTATTTAAATAAATTAAAAACATTAAAAGGTTTCACTCATAACATGCTATACAGTATTTAAAATAATAATATACTGTTAAAAATAATTAAAATCAGATAGCTGATCATCTTTGTGACCTTGTCTATAAGCAAGAATGGAGTAACCAGTATGAGGAGCCCAACAGCAACTAATAAAAGAGCTAGGTAAGGGTTTACCCTTAAACAAGTCATAGAATTAAGATTATTACTTTCACATTTGTGTATTTACCTCTGTCTAATGCTAAACTGTCAATGCTGTTCCCTACATTTTTGCTTGAGCCATGTATGTGCCAGAATGACTTAAAACATTTTTATGGCTGCAAGCTCATGGGTCAGTGATCTGCTTTGCTGTATTCTTCATTGCAATGTTCTGAGTTGTCATATCCAACAAAGAGGAACCGTATTGTGTAGGCGGTGACAGAACTTTAGGTTCTCAGCAGAAGTCAATATAATAAGCACCTTATGTCTGGAATATTCAAGGGAGCTCAGGAGAATAAACCAAGGTAGCAAAAGGCAACACTTGGTGCTTGCTTTTAACTCCTACTTTTAGTTTTTATCCTTTCATCACTTTAAAAGGTACACTTTAATTGCAAATCTCCCAACTTTCTCACATAGTAAGAGGGACACCTTCCACCACAATATATTTAGGCAATGAACACACCTCTGCCACGTTCCCAGTTATGCAGACCATTAGGAATTTATATGCCAAAAATGATTAGTCGGTGTTCTGGGTATAGATTTTAAAAGGTGCTTGAATTTTTAAGACCGCAGATGTACTGCATACATGCATCTCTGTCCACAACACAATGGTATCCTCTATTAATTGTGATTTGACAAGGTGGGATGCGTTTTTCATGTTTAGGCTGAGCCATGTTTTATGACTAAGGAAAAGTGAGATTTCTGTAAGAAGCAATAGGTTAGGTACCCAAGTAAAGCTTTCTATGTGTTATCAGTATTTTAAAAAAGGTTGAAATCATTGTACATTCCAAATCCTCACCTTTCATTAAATTATGAAATTGCTGGTCTAACTCTTCTTTTGCAAGATTTTCTTCTTCCAATATATCTGACATTGGCACACTGGGACTGGCTGAATCTTCGTCACAAGGCTGTAAAAAAATGCAACATAGACATAACTAAGTAAAATCTTGAACCCTGCCAAGCACTACTGTAACTCACTTTAGTATTACCGTTAACAGGTAAAGTGAAAGGATAGGCCAAGGGGGGAGAATGTCCAAGTTATTACTGTGACGGAGATTTGAGCATCTCATTATTAATTTGATCTCTAGTTTGTTTAGACATTCTCAATTCTAGATCTGCTAAGATGGTCTTTTTTGATCATTTTAGCCTTTGCACTAAAACCCTATTGTTTATTTAACGCTTTCCCTTGTGGATTAGCCTTGATAGGTGTCGCAAATATCACAATAACTGTCCTGCACAATTCAGCAAATTCCCTACAGATCCCCTTGTGTATAAGGAAGGAATGTGTGTTATCCCATGGAGTCAAAAACTGGGAGTTCTAACCCAATTTTCATAACTCAGAATCTGAGAATGATATCGTAAAATTAAATCACATAAATAGCCTCGTCTTGTCAAGCAGAATCTACACATATCACTCATCACTTAGGATAGACAGATGCCTGAAAAGTCAAATTAACCCTCCTGGGCCAGCCATAATGCACACGCATGCCAAGTTTGGGATTGATCTGAAGCTAATTTCATGAAACACAATCATCTATAGTTTATTTAGGACTAAACTATGAACATGGAGGAATATGTTATTAAAATGAAAATTGACAGTTTGGGAGGATCAGAGAAGGACATCGTAAAGGCTTAGCCCTCCTGCTCACCTCCCCACCCACGACTTTTGGGCCGGCTCCGTGACACCCCCTAGACTACTGACAAAAAGCTGCTGCAAGGGCAGCTGAGAGGCTTGTCGTACCATCCAAAGGAGGCTCCACGTAACAACCACAGAACCCTTTCTGTATCATCAAAAGAAGAAGCGCACCAAGAACCATCAAGAACCAACCGTCTGCCTTACTTTGAGAGAGTCACCCAGATCCATCTTCTATTGCATTGAATTGGACTACGTCAGAACTTACAACACCCAGGACTGTTAAGTATTTTTAATATTATTCCCTTTTTAATTTCACTGCTGTTAGTTGTCTCTTTTTTTTTACATCTTTTTCCTGCACCGTTTCTTTTGTTAAAAGGATGATCTTAAAAATCATTAAGCTTATCTCTACGCACTAAATGAGAACTTAAAGCATCCTCGTCTCCGTGAAGAGTGCTACTGGATAGTGAAATAAACTGTCTATCATATAACATACAGTTTATTATAACAAAATGTTCAGATGGACCTTTTTTCTGTTCAAGTCTGATTTCAGTGGATTTTCATAATCCTAGCAATACATTTTAATAAACAGCATATTATTTCACGTTACGGGAGAAAGTTAGAATTACTGCGAGCCCAAGAACTGTGTATAATGCTTTTACTTAAATAATCAAAATAATTACTTTTAACTGCTCTTGCAGTAGCAAAAGAGCAGCGGGCTTTATATATAAGCCTGTGGCTTGGCAATGTGCTCTTTCATCCAGATGTTTCCTTGTAAAGTATTAAAATGGCTCTCTCATTTCAGCTTAGCCAACAAGGTTTATCCACAGGTAAAATGTGTATAGTGGTTTCCTGCAGCTGCCTTTCCTTTTTTAACCAACTAGGATAGGGAAGTGTGAGTTCACCAAGAATATGTACATTTAAATGTAATGTTACATGAAACGTTTCACTAAAAAGATTGAAGGGTCATGGAAACATTTAATACAATGGTCCAAAGGCTGATTGGAGGATGGAGCTAAACATTGGAGGATGGAGCTAAACATTTTCTACAGAAGACTGAAAACAGTCTAAACACGTCTAAGGAAATAAAAAATAAAGTATCATCACTTAATCTACACAAGTTATTCTCTCCTCTACTCTTCATACTCTTAAAGATATCTTACGTGGCTCTCTCTAGAAATTCACATACCACCTATAATACAACAACCATCCAAACCATTAACTGCACCCATAAAACTAACATTTGCAAACACATCATCTGGCCTAATATGTATTATTATCTTTTGTCACGTACCCACCACTGATTTCTCCTATACCATCTAAAAAGCACAATCTGCCATCATATAAGCCTTCTGTGTTATCTCTTGTTTTTATGCCTTATTCCTTTAGATTCCTGGTGCATGCAACTCCCTGGTTCTCTATGCACAGCTGGCTGTGTCCTGGGCTAGGTCTACCTCATGTTGGAAGTTGGTGGAGTGGCAGCAGGGTGTCAGGTGCTGAAAGGATATCTGCATTCTAGGACCTGGCACTGAATGAACACCCATAGTACTGTCAGGCCAAAGTAAATCTCTGTCTGATAGCACAATTATATTCCCAGCAGTTGGAAGAGAAAGATAGCGGTGTGGGAGCATGTGCTGGCTGAGATTAGTGCCAATACAAGGGGGAGGCTGGGGTTAATATTGTGGCCACTAACACCTGAAAGTTACTATTACTGCCATTGACACTAATCATAAGGCTTATTTTACTTCCACTTTTTAGGGACTGCATGACACACCGGTACCTCGATACCTCTATTTTTATTATAAATAAGACACAGGTTTAGTGAGTCCTTTTTTACTGGTGAATAGGGTTGATTGCTGGGAAATTGTTTGTTGAGCAGCTAATTAATCCTTCATTGTGTAGCCCCCGAGCTATTTATTACACTGATTGAGCAACTTTCCACGTTCTCTTTGTAGAAAAGAGGTGTTCAAAGCTACTGAAACCCACTGCTGTATTCTCCATAGTATAACATAAACAATCCAATGTGGAGAGTATGTTGCCCATATAATTACTGAGAAAGGTAGGAAGACCTTTGAAACTTTAAATTTAGAAAACATCCAACTGGACTCCCTAACAGCCATAAGCTTCAATTATGTAATGTAACTGCCCTCTGTCTACCAAAAACTGAAATATCAGTTTCTGGTAGGTTGATACCTCTTTATTCTTGTAACTGGCTTGTGAACAGTATGAGATATTAAAATACAGACTGATCTTCCTGGTAACTTCTAACATTTAAAGGCCTTGTTCAAATAGAAATACCTTTCTCCTCTACTGTATTGCCATCAGAACAGAATGATCACTCTTTAAAGTCCAGTTATTCTGCTAATTGAATGGGGCTACAAACTGCCTGGAGCTTTCAACCATTTGTATCTGTCCTGTAATCAGTATAAGCTAACATAGTAACTGCCCCAGAGAAGTGTCAAATACTGCAGGGCCCTGGACCATGGTTCAGTTAAGAACTACAACTTAAAAAAGGTTACCATTGCTCCAGGATATTACTAAGGAACATAAGAGGTTTTCACTTTAAGTGAAATGGGAAAACTCTTAAAATTACGGTGTCATGTTAGAGGTCAACATTGCTATAACCAATAACATTGCTAAATTGGAAGGGTGTCATAGTAGTTAGGTAATGCTAGCCAGTGTCTGTTGTAATAAGAATATTTGTCTTAGCATGGATTTATTAAAACAACAAAAATAATAATAATATTCTATAAACGTTGCATTCTGCACCAAATACTTCACCAAGTTACTCCAACCCTACATACTGTATACAGAAATGTGGTACTGGGTAGAACTCTGGGCAGGCCAAAAAGATTAAATGTGTTGTGCCCACCCCAGCATATGCAGAATATTATTCTTGTTTTGTCTAGCGGGATGTAATACACTTATTGATGATTAATGACTACTTACCTTAAGAGGGCCACAGGGGATCCACTCACATTCCAACACTGCAAAGAAGAGGATCGTTGTACTGTCTGTTAAGGGGCCATGAAACATGGTATGCAATCAGTCATTATATTCTGCATATGCTTGGGGAAAGGGAATGCACACTTCATTTTTTTGGTTTAGCAGGGGGTTGCCCTTTAAATGTACTTCAGTTTACTGCTACTTTCAGCTTCTGACATGTTTATAATACCCCACATGGTCGAATTACCTACAGTATATTAAAGAAAATTTGATTGAAGAACATTTTCGGACACCATATACATTTTAAAATATTGCAATTAACAGCAGAAAAAAAAAAAAAGGAAGCAATTGATGATAGGTACCTCTAAGGCAGATAAACGCTTCTCACCAATGTCACTGCCCACACCAGAGTCTGAGTCTTTCTTTATTGGGAAGATGTCTTCGATACTAAAAGTGTATCCATAAAAGGATTGTGTTACTAATACAGTAGAACATGCAACACAAGATCACAGTTTGAGAATTAACATGGAATTTCCAGAGAACTAAGTCATATCTTCATGTCTATTAAATCTCCACACTTGAGATGATTTATGAAAACTGCCAAACAAAAATGTGTATCTGATGTCCACAGCAACTAACCACATCCATAAGGAATGACATATAAATGGCTACAGTGAACAACATGCTTTTTCTTGTGGGTGGCATTGACTCACCACCCCGCTTCCTAACCAATCAGGAAGCTGGGCAGCGAGTCATGACACGGCGCTCTGGCTTCCTAATTGGCCAGGAAGCTGGTTCCATGCTCTCTCGAGGAAGCATGGAGCCGGGTTACAGGCCAATTAGGATGCTGGGGGGGGGATTCGTTACCCAACCCCCGTTAGCTCCCTTTGTGCTCCCAAGGAGCTCAGGACAATGACATTCTCCTGTGTCTGGCCAGACTCCTGCTATAGTTGCCTGGAGCGCTTTAGCAGCTGGACCCCTGCGGGGTTGTGCAGTCAGAATGTCTGGGGAGGGCAGGGTGTATGTGATGGGATTATAATCTTATATGATCACTGTGCGTATAAAAGGTTGCACAGTTGCTCAATAAAGTTGCTCTAAATCAAAGTGTTTTTTCACCCTACAGTTGGTTTTGGCTAGTTACTGAGTGCTAAAGATCACATTTTGGTCATTAAGTGAAAACGGTCTTGAAACACAACAACAGTAGGTCCGTATTTGTGTGTAATGAATCGACATAGGGTGGCAGGACCACTAGCATTACAGTATATGGTGCTCTACTTTAGTCCTGTCTACTACTGTTCTAGCTACTGGTGCTAGACTAATGATAGGGTATGCCAAGTTGTGCAGTCGCTAATGTTACACTAATATTTTCCACTAGTATTGTGCTGCACTAGGTATATGAACTTTGCTGAACACGCCATAGAACTGGATTACCACCACCAGACCTGGAGAGAAGAGTTGCTTTACTTTGATAACTAAAACAAAGACTTACTGTAATGCCCACACATGTATATGAAAGGGCATGGGTCAGATTTACATTCTTAACTTGCATTAAGATGTGTAGTGGATGTGGAAAACTGACTACAGGACTGAACCTTGTGGACAGACTTTACCAACATGTTTAATGGAGTTCTATACACATTTTACTAAGGAGTGCACATAGAAAAGTCATACGTCCTAACTAAACAACAAACACCAAACATGCTGAACATTTCTCAAATGCAGTCTTGTATAATACAAATATTTTGTTTAATTGTAAGTATTCATAAATAAACCATTACTATACAACTGTACCCACGCATGCAGGCTCACCTTTCCTCAACATGTTGCTGCAGAATTGGTCTTTCAATGGAATGAAGATAAAATTCACCTGTCTTTTCAATTTGACAAGCTTGTATACTTAGATATTTGAATATATGTATTTTGCCTTTAATACAAACCTATAACATATAAATGTGTAATTTATTAGAAAGGAAAGGGAAAGACATTCAAATGGAATGTTGACTTGTCATAAAAAGAAGCCGATTATTGCTTTTAAAGTGCACATGTGCCCATACTATAGACCTAAAACTATTCACATATTCTTTAAAACAAGCCATCCCACACTTCTCTAGCTGCTTGTAAGGTTTAGTAAGTTATTCTCAAAGATCCTTAAAGATCACAACAAAGGGAGAATTACCAATAGCAAACCCGCAAGTTATTTGGAGCAAATACTGTCGCAGTTTCCATGCTCCAAATTAAAGCAGCAGTAAAGCTTTTAAAAAAAATAAAAAACAGCCCCCCAGCTGCTTTCAACCATAATGTGCTAGTATGCACAGCATTTTATCACAATATAGCAGATTTATCTGCCAAAAGGATCCCCTCCATCGCTGCACTTCTCCCTCACTGGCGCTTCCAGCCTTCTTTTAGGTTTTAAGTTTTCACCAACTTGATTGGCTGGGTCCTGATGATGCAACTCCTGCACATGCGCATGGGAGTTACTTCATCTTGGCATACTAGGTATGTGTGCTGAGTTGCGCATACACGGCTCAGGGTATATAAAAAAAACTGCTGAGTGGTAGAAAGAAGATTTTATGACAGGAGAAAGTCTATGACTATGTAAGTCTCTTCTGCCATAGAAAGCCTGCCAGTTTTTATTTTTTTAAACCTTCCTTCTATTTTAACAATGTTATATGACAATTTCTATGTGGTGTTGCACTAGCTGTGCCAAATTATGTTAAAAGTGCTATGTGACTCGCCTCCAGGACTTCATACTCGCCTCCAGGACTTCTCTAGAGTCTCCCCATCCTCTGGAACTCTTTACCCCAACCTATCCGTCTATCTCCCACCTTGACTGCCTTTAGGCGTTACCTAAAGACTCATCTCTTCAGGGAAGCCTATCCCACCTCAACCTAACCACTGAACCATCACATTCTTAAATAATTCATCCCCACACAGCTACCTCCTCATGTATCATTTCCCCCTCCTCTTTTAGATTGTAAGCCCTCAGGGGCAGGACCCTCCTTACCATCTTGTCTTGAATTGTATTGTAATGTCTTCCTTATATTGTAAAGCGCTGCGCAAACCTTTGGTGCTATATAAATACTATGTAATAATAATCATCATAAAAATAAAATCTGCCAATTGCAAACTTTAATCCATTTCCCTTTGAAGTCTATGGGGGGGGGGGAGGTTAACATGCAAGGGGTTGTCAAATAGAGGGCATAAGGAGCTGGGCACTGCCATGGGGGACACATAGCCATGCAATATTTTTTTTTTTTTTATAAATTTTGATCAAGTTTGAGGTCAACATGGGAAAAACACAAATTATGTTGTTAGTATTATTATAAATTATACAATAGGGAAATGCCTTATACAGTATGGGGTTACAGAACAGGAGGAGTAATTTTTTCTCAAGAATGAAAAATTAGAGTGTATTATTTCAGAGACTGCAGCCAAAAATATTGTACAGAATCACTACCCATTATATAAACAGTTTTACTTGTCTGCAGTGTAAAGGGGAGAGATGATACATCTTTTATTGTGAATACAAAAATGACAGTGTATTTTTCCAAAGACAAGAGCCAGAAATATTGCAAAGACATTCTGTACACCATGTAAGCATTTGGAGCAGGCCGCAATGAAAAAAGGAGAGACCAGGCAGGTTTTACCATGAAAAACAGACAAAAGCCATAAAATATGTGCATACTTGATGCACAGTGTGTAAGCCTGTAACTACTATGCCACAAGGGAAGACCGGGCAGGTTTTAATAATAAAATCACTGTTAAATTACACTATTTCAGAAAGACTGAAGGAACAAATATTCTCAATTAGGGGACTACTAGTATAGGCCCAAAAAATAATAACGAGTATGATTTAGCCAGCAGTAAAGAATCATTTTACACCCAAAGAACAACTGCAGAAGCATTAGGTGTGGCACTGAAATCCACCACAAACACTGAGGCACAATGCAGGACTGAGGGCCCGTTCACACCATACAGAATGCGTTCCAGAGTGTTCGGACTCTGGAATGCACTAGAATGTAACCTGGCGTGCTCACTTTGTTTTGGGACGGGAGGGGGCCACGCCCCCCGCCCGCAGTGCGATTGCTGGCACCCAAACGTGTGGCACATTAGTGCCTGTGTTCTGGTCCAGTGCGATCTGCAAAAATGCTGCTGGACTATTTTTGCAGATTGCACTGGACCGGAACGTAGGCACCCCAAAACAAAGTGAGTCGGCCGGGTTGCGTTCCAGAGGCCGCACTCTTTATGGTGTGAACCGTCCCTGACTCTGCAGAAAAAAATTGCCCAAATTTGCTGCCGAGGAAACATTAGGTGCGGCACCTTGCAGGGTCAATCCTGTGAAACACAGGACTGACCCTGCAGAAAAAAAATGTTCAAACTTGTCAGCTGTGGAACAGCTGCGGAAACATTAGGTGTGACATCTTGACAGTGCAAAAACACCGGACTAGAGCTGTAGAGGGAGCACAAGATGGTAATGGTGGCAGGCCTACAGTAGTGGAATGGAATGGTTATGGTGTCATACCAGCAGGGGTAGAATGTTTTTGGGCCAGATTGAAACCAAACACGTATTATTTAGCATCATTACCTACAATTAGCTACAGCATTAGCTGTAGGGTTTGGTACTTATTGCTGATGCAGGACTGGTTCATTTTTATAAAAGGTGAGCTGGGGACAGTCAGATTGTTTTTTCTGTCACAAAAACTACCTGCTGCACTAAATGAGCAAACTTGTCACAGGGCAACCCAGCAGCCTAACTGCACACCGGGCAAGCTTTGGATAGGGATTCATCCTTGTTCAAAATGTATCCAAAAATCAAGGAGGGGTCATCCATTCTAAAAGGTGTCCACATCTGTCCTTAAGAAACAGAGGTCTTGCTGCACTCCTTACTGGAGAGAACCCGTATGGGTGGGTGCTTGTAGTGACCACGGACGGCACCGTGTATACCACAGAAGAAGAAAATAATGTCACCAGCACACCGTAGTAATAAATCAATAAACCATTTAATGGCAAATTGCCATTCAATGCAAGGGTTTTCGGGGCCTCAGTGGGTCCCCTTCATCAGGCTCATGAAGGGAGGCCCCGAAAGCGCTTGCATTGAATTGCAATTTGCCATTAAATGGATTATTCATTTATTACTACGGTGTGCTGGTGACATTTTCCACATCTGTGCTTAAACCCATATAATCAGATAATCAATTATTATTGATTACTAACACTCATTATCACGCCAACACTGTTTTAATTCACTCACTGGTGACCTTGAGCGCTGCACATCCAGTTACATTCATCAATGCTATACTTGGGCCGCAGTGAAAACACTATACAAAATGTATGAACTTTTGCCCAAAAAGAGCCCCACTCAATGCTTCCTCCAAATAAATCCAAATTTTATTTCAATCCATGGAACAGCATACACCTTCCAAAGCTCCTCAGAACAAAACAAACTCTCTCCATACATGTTTCACCCACAGGGCTTAATCATTGGAATACTATACAACATGTGCTTCATTTATTCCCTGACCAAAGGGCCTCCGAAATATGAAGGTAGGATGGCCCTCTAGTAGGAATAGGTGACACAAGGCAATGCTCTATCCCTACCAATGCAGAAAAAAAAGAAACATACAGACAAATCAGCCAGTGTAACAATTTTGTTTTTGTTTGGTTTGATTAGAGTAGGGAAAGGTTAGAATCCCACATTTTTATTGCAGTATTGGTGCCAACCAGGGAGTATTTTACTCCTGTCCTTGTGACGGGGTCATATACAGCAAAATAAATCCCTTTTATAACAGAGTGGAGAAGGTTAGAACCTCTGTTTTTACTGCTGTCTGCATTTCCACAGGGTAGAGAGTGCTGACTGGGACAGCTAAGAGAAATCTTCCCAACAAGAATCGACACAGCAATAAAGCAGATCTTCTACCTCTATCCAAACTTAGAAAAAAAATAAAAGTTTGGGCTGGAGTTAGATTTAAAAGTGAATCTAGAAAGTAGAAAAAAATTAGGTAACACTTTAAAAGGAGAGGAGTCAGAATAAGTTGTCTGGTGTCGGGTCGGCCCCCATATACCATGGACATTCTGTAAGTGGGAACAGAGGCACACACCCACAATTTATAATGCAATTCTCAGTAACTGGGCCATTTAAAGATAGACACATTGTCACACAGTAAATGCATTAGCACCAGGGCTTGGAGCATCTCTGGAGAGATGTAAGTTATAGTATTTAAAAAACATTTTTAATAGATACACTTTTATAAGGGTTAGAGGCCAAATTAACAAAAACGTGAACTGAATTATATGTGAATCTATACTTGGGAAACTAAATTGTTACTTTAGCTTGTATATTACTGGTGTCTCAAACACAGCCATGGAGCTAATTTGGACAACATACATTAGTGTATCAAAACCTAAAGGATATCATAAGAAAGATAAGAACTGACCTGTGCAGGAGGGGATTGTAGTGGGTTATTCTCCAATACTAATACTTGTAATTGCACCATTTTTCTAAAACAAAGTGGCAAAATCAGCACTTTATTGCAGGAAATATCTAATTTTACCAAGGGAAGATCTACGATTTCTGTGAATACAAAGGAATACTTGGTTAGCGACTTGTAAATAGACATCAAGCTAGCATATCTCAGATATTATACATCAGATTTAGACTATTGCTAGAATACTCTAGGTAGTAAACAATGGTAATTTAGATCCATTATCTAAAATTCTTTAGACCTGGGATCTAATGGCTAACCATGGCTAAAGTGATATCATCATGCAATTTCACCATAGACTTGAAAATGGCAAATTCAATTAAATCTGAACTCCAGCATTTACTAAAATAATTACAACATTTTATATACAGTATAAGCATTTCCATGCCCTGCATAGAAGAATTCAAGCTGTCAGAGAATCAATTCCTACTGAATTGCACATTGTTGTAAATCTTAGGATTAGTGTACATGGAATCAGACTCAGAAGTCAAGCATTGTGTTTTCAATAAAAAAAGGCTTACATTTGAGAGTTTGGAAAGCATTTAAGAGGCATCACTTTGACTTGTACCTAAGAATAAAAGCAAAAGAACCAAAGCAGCACGAAGCATGGCAATGGCAACACTAAACAAAAGTAAACATTGTTCCATAGAATACAAATGAACATTTAAATATTTATATAAATTACACACATAAATATAAAATAAATAAGTAAACAATAAGTTATATGAGTATTCAGATTTGTATTGTTGCTCAGTTTCAATTATACTAATTAATTTGTACTATATAAGCACATATAATAGAATAAATCTCTTTTTTGAACACTGACCTTGAGGTAGAACTTTCAAATAATTTCTTCTTACATTTAATTCTCTCAGAGACTTCAAAAGGCCTATTTGCTGTGGCAAAGATGTTATTTCATTGCAGCTGATGTCCTATAAATCACACGACAATGCCATACATTAGTTTTAGACTACAGTGTTTGTGCATTCTTTCGCCGTTGTAATAAGCAATAAGTACAGCAAGGTCAAGAAGAAAAAAAAATCTACTGCATTAAAAAGGACACAATGGTACTTTATAATGTGTTTTCTAGTCTATTTTTATTATATCATTTTATATGGAGATATGGATTTTTTATGGAAAAATAGAGCTTGATGAAATTCATAACACTTTTGTCAATTATGGGTAAAGTCAGGTTTATAGTAGAGAAAAAATATTTAGCAATAGCCCAGTTTTGACCTTTAAGTAATAAATATAATGGAAAGCTGAATGTTTCAAAGTGACAAATGTCTAAAACATGAACAATGTTTAAACTTCACACTTGAATGACCCCTCCTGAAAATGCTAAATGCCTGTCTGTCTCTGGATTTAGTATTTAGAATGATATAACACAGCTAAGTTCTGAACCAAACTTCTTCCAAATGTACCTTCTTTGCTTTATCAGAGCTGGAAAACCGTCACTGCGTAATATAATATGCTCAACTGTTCGACTAGTAATGACCAGCTAAGTAATTTAATATACAATCAGAAGTACATTTGTAAGGTTATAATATCACAGATGCATGTTGAGGCTATTAGAGGACACATCTGCTGTATGGGGGTCTGACCATATGCTGCCTATAGTATGACTGAATATATGTGCTAATTATGCCTCTGGCACTCTCAAGCTAAATTAAAAAATGACCTCATATTATTCTACATTATTACAGAGCCTGGGGAAATTATATTACTTTGTCCCCAGAATAAAAAGAGTCTGTTCTCCCCCCACTTTTTGCAGTTCTTTATCTTGTCACTATAGCAAACTAGAATGCTTTCCCAGTGTACAAAGGTAATTCAGCCTTATTTATTAAAGGGCTATTATTTTTAAAGGTGAACTAGATATACACATAACACCAATTAATCCAGTTTTAAATGCATTGAAAATCATATAGCTCAACTTCAGCCAAAACTTTAATTATTTTTTAAAGCTAAAGACAGATCTATCTTGATATCAGCTTCTGGTAATCACCTGTATAGTAGGACTCACACTAAGAGAAGGAGGGTCAAAGTCTAAGTCAATTAGTGCATTACACACTGTTTTCAGTCTCACTTCCTGAACATACTTACATGGGATATAAGCAGAGGTATGACCTCATAAGACCAATCACCATGCTGAGGAGTGCTGATAACCAAGCAGCGTTGCCTAACTGCAGTGGAGAAAAGTTAAGTTGCTGACCTAGCTATGCATGTTCAACCATTTGTTGAGGGACAACCATCAAAACAATGGAAGCACATGACGATAACTTAGGGCAGGTGGCATTCAGAGCCGCAGCAGCATTCAGAAGAGAACAGAGGAAAGTGCCTTCGCCCAGACCGGCTCTGCTGTAGCCCCTCTGTATTTAAGGTAGGATGGGTGAAGGGGATACTCTGATGTAAACGGAAGGAAGAGGGGGACTCGGACGCCAAGGATGGGCCTCGGATGTGAAGGATCGGGGGAGAGGGGGTGGGGGTGGGGAAACTGATGTGAAAGGAGGGAGGGACTCTGTGGTAAAGGGGGAAGGGACTCTGATGTGAAAGGAGGGAAGGACTCAAACCTATCTATTGCTGAGCCTGTACGGTAGAAGCAAGAGGGTTGATCATACCCAGTCCTGTAAAAATTGACAAAGGCTACAGGAACCACATCGGTGCTGCTGGAGGTCTACCATAATATAAGACAGACATAAATGGAAAGTAAAATGGGTTTTGGTCATTTCATTCTACTGTTTTTAAGTTAACTGATATTTTAAATAATTTTTTATGGTGTGCAACCATTGTACTCCCTCTGCAGAGGAATCTTTGCTTTCTAACAAGAAAGCCCAGCACTTCCTGTATGCTTATTGGCATCCTGTGTAAACTGCCTTATCTTGACTAGTCCATCTTTGCTGTAAGTGGGATGGGTCCCTTCTCTAAATAATTTAACAGCAGTATGTAATATGATCTTTTCTGCTACTCATCTATAGTTCACAGCAACAGCAGTTTTGAGTTCTGTAGAATGCAGCTGTTTAGCTTGCAGCTCAACACCTTAGCCCCATTATGTATTTAATTTTCACTGAATTTTTATGTGTGTGTACGCTAACTACTAGATTACCAAGCTTTATTTTATAAACCCCAACTGTCTATAAACAGTATGCTGAATTTTACTACAACAAAATGTGTCGCTATGACTTGTGCACCATGTTATCAGCAGGACTGTTCTGGTGCACCTGGCACAGTTGGTAGCCTCCTCCATGCTTGCAAGGTGCTGCTTTTTAAATTTTTCTAATTCCCCTTTAGGCCCTTGATCGTTATAGTGATCCTTCAGGGTCACCTCAGTCTTTTCATTCTATATAAATTTCTTTCTCTAAGTGATTTTCCAAAAGGTCTCTTGTCTAATTTCCTGCCAGACTTCTGTTTTCTTTCAAAAGAAAGTACCAATTTTCAATTCATGAGTTAAAGTTCACGTTTTCCCAGAGGGACTGATAGATTTGGCTTACCTTACATCCCACACATTAGCCTGGGGTTACAACACCCCTAAATATGAAAGTGAGAAATAGAAAATATTACATTCAGTGACATACCAGCTCCATTAACTGCTGCAGTTGACCTATTTCCTCTGGCAGAAAACCAATCTTATTATTACTTGCAATTAAGACTTTAAGAGGAAGACCACATATGCAGGCTGGCAACGATGAGAGCTGATTTCGACTGAAAAACAGAAAAAAATAAAGTTCAGTAGAGCCAAGCTTTAATTTTGCTTAAGTGATTCACAGAGGCATTTTAAAAGAGCTGTACATTTCCTAGTGATTCTTTGTGTTGTCAAAAGTACAGCTGAACAACGTCCAAATCAGAGCTGTGTAAAGAGGCCGCTCACAGCCAGATCTCTGTACATCGCAAAAAAGGGCTGTGTGGGAGGAAAACGAATGCCTAAGAAAAAAGCTGAGGAACAGAACTCTGTTATGCAAGAATTCCAATAGATACACTGCACCAAATTCCTAACCACTGAAGGACTGTAACTGTGCTAAATTAAGTTATAACTAGGGATGCAGCGATATTTCAGTATCGAGTATAAGTACCGATATGTTTTTTTCCAGTACTTGCCGATACTGGTGCCGTGTGCCCTGATTATCAGGAAATCCCACAAGACGATCACAATTCAGAGGGATTCCCGAAGAACCCTTGTAGAATGTGCTTTGTTTAGGGTACCTTTGATTTTAATTATGAACAACTGAATCTTAACATATGGGTTATGTTTGTTTACAAAAAGGAAATACTAATTTGAAAAAGCAGGTCGGATGACCAGTGAAACGTCTTCAAGAAAAATACAGCAAGTGCAGTTGCTTTGATTTATTTTTTACAGATATACCATGACCTGGATGAATGAGAAACTTAACAGACAAGCAGGAGAGAATCCAATAATAAAGCCAGTAAGAGAGAATCAGTTAGCTGTCCACTCTGTGCAATAGCCAGTCCACCAGGCTAGTAATCCACAAAGACCACAAGCAGTACTAGACAGTCCATAGAGAGAGGGTAATCTTGAAAGGGGCGCCACAGCTTGCCACCTTCCCGCTTGTCCTCAGAATCCCATTGTCAAGTTTTAGCAAAACACAACAACCACCACTGACCATCTGGGCTTTTATGCTTTAAGGCTTCCATCCTAGAGGTGTGCACAGAGGGAGGGTCTGTGAGTGAAATAGCTGCCTGAGTGACCTCCCTTGTTTCCTAGTAGGAACACTCTACAATGTTCCAGAAAGTTTGAGTAGGAATTAGCTCAGCCTGGAAAGGGAGGTGCAGCCAGGTACTTAGGAAATCTTGAAACTTCCAGAAAGCTGCAGGTTAACCTTCAACGTGACCCAAACCATGTAGATTTTGCCACAGTAGAATGTTAGGCTGGGTTCACACCTAGGCGTATTGAATATGCGCGTTTGTCGCGCGTTTCCGAGGGCTACTTGGCTGTATCCCAATGGAAACGCGCGACAAAAACTCCCCAAAGAAGCTCCTGTACCTCTTTGGGCGTAGAGCGTTTTGTAGCGCGTTCATACGGCCTGTAATACGACCAGGTGAGAACCATACCCATAGGAAATAATGGGATTTCGGTGTTTGAGCGTTTTGCAGAGCGTTCAAACGCGCTACAGAACGCCCAGGTGTGAACCCAGCCTTAGGGAATCTTCTTGTTATCATCAAAACAATCATTCTGTCCTTCCACACATGCCTGGGCTGGGCCTTTGTCTATCATTGGAACACTCCCATCAGTCAGGTCTCAGCAAATTGCATCCTTGTTTGCAGGATTAAGAAAGACTTGTCCATAAAAGGTTACCACTGTCTACACAGGATGAAAGTTCTACAATGATTCCCCTGCCTCCAGCAAGTGCGCTGCATTACTAAACAGGTGTGAGAAATAAATATCAGGAAGGGGCCTCATGGGATAACAATCCTCAGGCATTCCTCCATTAATCGGTGTCACTGCTTAGTAAACCGCTTTTATTGGCTGTGTTGTGTTATCCATCCACCTTACGGGAAAAGCAATGTGTAGACTGCTCTTTTAGGAGGCGAAGTTATTATTACATCAAAGTTATATCACAGATACCAATTTTATCAGCTCCAAAAACCCTGCAGCCAAAGCTAGCATCTGCAGAGGCCTGAACGTCCATCTAATAAGTTAATGTTCCATAGGGTCAGCAGAGTGCATACAAGGGAAATAATGTGAGCCCATCCAGGGCTCCAGGATGTTGAGAGGGAGACTAGATTCCTGTATCGACTAGGTCTCTTGAAGCAAGATGTTCCCCAGGACTCTGACAGACTGATATTTGTGGTGAGCACCTTCCAGAGCATAGAGAGGGGGGATTTCCCAGATTCCAATGCCAGTTTGGAAATCCCCCATGATAGGGCAAGGTTTGTCTTGATGGACAAAAGAATAGCGAGATCTAGGGACTGAGCCTGTTTGTCCCACACAGGCAGGATGCTTAGCTGCGATGGTCTAGAGCAGCATTTAGCATAGGGAACCGTCTAAAAGGAGGTTACAATCAAGCCCAGTACCTTCATGCAAATGCAAATGAATGTGCAACTCCTGGACCACAAGGTGTCAGAGCATGAAAGGGGAAAAATAGGATCTTTTCCCGGGGGAAAGAAAGACCCTAGACAGGGCTGTGTTGAAGAACAGGCCCAGGTACTCTAAGTGATGGAAGGGTTTTAGAGCCAACTTCTGGAGGTTCAAACCCCATCCAAAGCTCTGCAGGGTTTGTCTTGGCTGAATGGTTGGGTGACAAGGTTTCCACTGACTGTTCTCCAGGTATTCCACTGTGGGGATCCGGTGAGATCGAAGAAGAGCCAACCAAGAGGCCAGAATCTTGATGAAGACCTGAGGTGCACTGGACAGGCCAAAAGGAAGGGCAACAAATAGGTAATGTTGCGTGCCCATAGCAAAAGGCAGGTAGCGTTGATGGGCAGCAAAAATGGGGATGTGCAAATATGCATTCTTGGTGCCCAGACAACAGAAAGTCTCCCACGTGAAAGAAACCAATGACGGAACAGGCAGATTACATTCGGAATTTGGGGGCTTGCAGGAACACATCAAGACGCTCCAGATTGAGAATAGTGCTTTGGGAACAGTGAATAGGTCCTGCCAGCTACCGGCTCTACCATGTATGTAATGACGAAGGAGTCGGCAATTTTAATATGCTGGAAGGTAAGCATGCATCATCTACTTTTACAGGCTGGCTTTCCTTCCAGCAGAAAGTCGACAGTGAGCTGAAAAAGAAGCAGCTGGGAGTGTGTTTAAAGTCCATGCTGCCACCGATGTATGACATACATCATAGCAAAGAAAGAGTTAAGAGCTGAGTGCATTTCAACAGCTATTTGTTGTACTTGCAAGGACTTTAAGGGATAAAGCATGGATAAATGTGCATGTATTGCAGAGATTATTGTGCTTTTCTGTCCTCTTTCTCAAAGAAAATCAACGATTTGGGTCATGCCAGACAGAAAACAGTAGAATCTTTATGAGGATAACTAAGCTTATTAACCACTTCAAGACCAGGTGTTTAGACCCCCTTCCTGGCCAGGCCATTTTTCAGTGTTCAGCGCTGCGATACTTTGACTGACGTTTATTCCGTCATGCAACGCTGTACTGAAATGAATTTTATACCATTTTTTGGGGACAGATAGGGCGTTATTTCGGTGGTATTTAATCACCACTGGGGTTTTTATTTTTTTATTATAATTAGGAAAAATTACAGAAAATTTTGAAAAAAAAAAGTTTTTTTTACATTATGTTAGGAAACATTTATTATTAACCAGTTTTTTGGTAAAATATAAAAGTCGGGGTCACGTCGGGTAAATAGACACCAAACATGTCAAGCTTTAAAATTGCGCGCACCCTGAGAATTTTTTTTGCTGCCACTGTTGACCTTTTTTGGAAAATGCTAATACAAATATGCTGTTATAATGGCGTATTGGCTTCAATACTTTTTGGGTTACTAGCAAGCACAAGTTTAGAAATCAGAAAAGCCAGAGAAAAGTTGAAGGCCTAACTGCATACTGGTTTCGGTTAAGTAACTATCAAAGCAAGAAGGTCAACATAACAGCCAAAAACTGACATTTTCTGCAACACCGTTTCCATGTTCTATGTCTGTGAAGGTTCTCATTCATCCAGGTCATGGTATATCTGTAAAAAATAAATCAAGGCAACTGGACTTGCTGTATTTTTCCTGAAGACGTTTCACTGGTCATCCAACCAGCTTCCTCAATTCAGAATGACTTGTACAAAAACAGGCTTTCTTGGACTATTTAGTAACAGTAGAAGGGGGAAGGAGGCTGGAAATAGAGGTCTACCGAAAACCAACACACACGGACCAGTACCTGCTATTTGACTCCCACCACCCTCTAGACCACAAACTGGGAGTCATCAGGACTCTACACCCCCGGGCACAGGAAATTCCCACCAGAACAGAGGCCAAGATGAAGGAATTCAAACACCTCAGGGGGGCCCTAAAAACTTGCGGGTATCCAGACTGGGCTTTTGTCAAAACAGAAAGAAGAGGAAAGAATGCCAAGAGTACCGGTGAGGGTGAAAAGCATGACAAATGGAAGAATTTGGTCATCCCATATGTAGCTGGGGTGTCTGAGAAACTCAGAAGGGTTTTTAAAAAACATCACATCCCTGTCTGCTTTAAACCCAGCAATACACTGAGGCACCAACTGGTTCACCCAAAGGACCCAACGCCAAAACACAAGATGAACAACATTGTGTATGCAGTCCAGTGCAGTGAGGAGTGCTCAGAATTGTATGTCGGTGAAACAAAACAGCAGCTACACCAGCGTATGGCAGAGCATAGAAGAGCCAAACCCTGTGGTCAGGATTTGGCAGTGTACCTACACCTAAAGGAAAAAGGTCACTCCTTTGAAGACAGTCAAGTACGCATCCTAGACAGGGAGGAGGACTGGTTTAAAAGAGGTGTGAAAGAGGCCATCTATGTAAAAATGGAAAAGCCAAGCTTGAATAGAGGTGGAGGGGAGAGACATCTAGTGTCTGCCACATACAATGCTGTTTTAACACCTCACTCTGGGCAGGTTATTAACACCTCCTAGACTCCAATTATGCAAACGCAATCAACACCTGGTTGTGACTAACAGATTATGTGGATTGGAGCAACATTCACCATATTTTTTTCCCCAGATAATTTTTGTGCAAGTCATTCTGAATTGAGAAAGCTGGTTGGACGACCAGTGAAACCAGTTTCAAGAAAAATACAGCAAGTCCAGTTGCCTTGACTTATTTTTTACAGATATTCCATGTTTTATATACAGCTATATAAGAAATACACTAGAGGGCACATGGAAAAGTAAGCAAGTACAAATGTGAGACCGAACTAAAAAAAAAGAGTTTCAGGTAAAATTTGCAATATCATTTCAACCAATGCAAAACAGTGATTTCACATCAACAAGGTTTATATGAAGCAATTTGGCAAGGTGTATTCTTATGAATAAAATAAAAAAAGTATACCTTATGTTTAGGTAGGTTAACATCCGTAAATGTGCTAATGTTTCAGGAATAACTTTGATACAATTTTGATATAGGTTGAGTGCTTCTAGTGACACAAAATGGCAGACTTCAACCGGCACTTCTGTTAGCCTATTCTTCGAAAAGTCTGAAAAAAAACAATATAACAAACATATAAATGAAGTGTTTTACTGTAGTAATCCACCCACTTCACATTTTTTACACAATTATTCACAATTACACAATTATTAACATACTGTTATATATGTTGGTATATAGAGAATGTAGAGGCATGCTGTTGTTAATTACCACATTTTACCTCAAAATATTTCCTTTACATTTGCAATACAAATACAATACATTACAAAATATCGTTCTGCTGCCAAAGAAGGTTTGCATATGAATGGTCCATTTTTTCAGCTCTTATTGATGAAAATAACAATCATTAGGGAGATGTCCCTTAACGTCCTGTACTGAATACACAACAGAAAGTTAGTAGAAATCTTGCACAAGTGGAGACCACACCAATGCCAGTTGTCATTGGAATGGGGGTCCCCATTGGCAGATAATCCCGGTTTACCAATTCGGGTGACAACTATAAAATGTTGACTTCCCTTTACTTTCCCACCAGGATAGTCCCTGGGACAAAGAGAGGATGAATATCACTGGGTACAAATGCCAATAAAAACTTTACAGAGATCCTAACGTTTCCCATGTTACTGCAGATAGAAAAAAATAGGCTGGATTTTCACTTTAAAGCAACCCTGTCAGGGTAAATAAAATGCAGATGAACGATTCCTGAAATAGAAGAACTTTTTTATTCACGACTCCAGCGCCCCGTGTCTCTAGACCATCTATCCCAGCGTTGCAGCTTCATTAAGACTATTTAGCATTCATCACTTCCAGGGGTTGTGGCCTGCGGTGTCCCCACCACAATGTGGTTTCAACCTCTGACTCCTACATCATTGCTGAGGCTTATAGCGATATAGGGGTTGAAGAATGGAGCCACAATGTACAGCAGAGGACACAGGCCTCAAGTGTTGCTGAAATGGAGGGGAAGGAGACATAGGCCACTGGAGAGGTGAGTGTGAAAGCTCTTCTACTGCAGGGATCTTTCATCTGTTTTATTAACCTGGCAGGGTCTCTTTAAGGTTTACCTAACTACCTATGTCACACAAAGCTCAGTCTAAAGGGAACTAAATGTAGCATATTACTGCCCCTCTAGTGGTCAGCATGAAACCTATCATGTGTATGTCAAGTTTGTACTTTGCTTAAGCTGAGCCCAGTTTTTCACTGACACTTCTGCTGGCCATATAAACTGACTGTGCCTTCCCAGTAGATTAAAACCAAGAATCAAGTCTAGCTAAAAAGAACTAAGGCTTCACATAAAAAAAAAAAAAAGTGTTACATCACCTAATTATAAGTGCATCTGCAGTTAGTTTTTTCTTTTAGTCCCCCTGCAAAGACCCACAAATACATGTTCATCCTACCAGTTAAGTCCACCTAATGCAGCTTCCTGTGATGGTGTGGCAACAATGCTGCACTGCTCCTGAATTCAGAGAGAAGGTGTTGCAGGAGGTGCGGCTATCGGCATTGTCTCAGCTAATTCACAAGCCTGTAGCTTGTCAATCAGCCCCTGGCAACAACTAGTCCTGCTTTCTGGTCTGGCAGCACTGCTTCTGTCACTTAAACCCTTCCACTGTGCACTGCAATGTCTCAGAGGGGGGGAGGTGCGACACACAAATGGAGGATTTTGTTCAGTCAGGCAAGATAAAGAAAGTTAGTTTTTTTTCATTATTAGCCATCACATAGTAACATGATTTGGGGCCATCACACGGGAGCCTTTAGTTGTACTTTAAAGGAGAATTATGAGGGGAGTGATTTTCACTCAGCCTCATAATCTGAGCCGACCTGTGACAATGAAACTGTCACAGGTCGGCTCAGTAGATCGGGAAGTGAGCGAACACATACCGTCGCTCGCTCAATCCCTGCAGGGATTCCCCCGCTGTAGCTCGCGGTATTCTGAGCTTTGGGTCACGGGAGAACGCTAGTTTGTGTTCTCCCGTGACCCTTAGGAGAACTATGGTTCTCCCATAGTTCTCCTTTAAGTTCAGGTAATAGCCACTAAACTAATCTAAACAAAATTCCAGAAAGCCACACATCTTGCAATTAACATGCAAACTCTGGTACACCTGAGAGAGTTACTGCAGACAATTTTGATACACAGAAGAAAGAACATTCGTGTAGCACAGAACACTGTTTCTACAGGGAGTAGCATGGCTTACGATTGAACGAGCCTGCTCTGGTACAACATATTATATGGATGACAATTAGGCTGCTATAATCCATAAACTGCACTTGATTAGGGCTCATGGTATAAAACGTGCTATTGTAAACACACAGCTATAAAATCATCAACTGTGACAAAACACATTCTTTACTGCATTGAGTTTACCATTTATGGCTAAGGTAATATGCACTAAGAGACGGGGGTATTAGATTCTCTAACTGGAGAAGAAATGGATCACTTGCTGGGCCTGACTGGTGGAGATTTCAGAACAGTCATTACAATCCTGTAGGATGGAAGTCAACAGTTTAGAAGGTAAGTTAACCTGTATCTAAACCCAAGAACAAGATTGATATGCCTTGCAGCTCATCATTCCTTAGATGTGGTGCCTGTGTTGGTTTTCCTCTTTCAGGCTTTTTTTCCCTTCATTTTCACCCTGTGACTATGCCAGTAACACACCTTTTGTCCTAGGGTGACATTGCTCACTTACTGCTCTGTATCTCTGGAAGAGCAGCATTGTCACCCTAGGCTTCTCTTCTGATTTCCAAACACCTTCCCCTCTCCTTCTCTCCATTACATGGATTGTGCTGCTTTGCAGTTCAAAGAAAATAGCCTAGCAAGCTGATGTTTGAAAAAATATTAGAGATTTCAGTTCAGTCCACAGAATGTTAAAGTAATAGTACACTGAGTGAACATGATCCCCCTAGGACAGGAAGTGTGTTCCTGACAGAATCACCAGATAAGAAAAGCCTATAAAAAAATAAAAATGCAGCCACCACATCTAAGGACTGGTAAGATTCAATAAATTATATTTTTGTTTTGGGGTTTAAATACATTTCAAGGCACCTGAGGGTGCCTGCTTACACTGGAGGGATAGAGTGGGAGGAACTACATTTTTAACAGATTAACTTTATTTTCTTGATTACTTTATGTCCATCCACAACTTGCCTTGTTGTGGATGGACACCATTCACACCATCGCATTGTGGTGAAACACGGTGGTGTGCGCTGAAAAAAAAAGTACAGCATGCGGAACTGTTTTCATCACAGTGGAATGCGGCGGGTTACAACTGCGTTGCACCCCGCTGTGCCCGTAGTACTGAATGAAATGTCACTTGTGACATTTCAATAAAGTTCTAGAAAAAAAAGTGTACACAGTGCAATGTGCCAGGATTGGCACATCAGACCACTGTCAGGCAATGCACACCAGCTGATGTGCGATTTAGCGCAGTGGCTGGTGTGAATGGGCCCTTAAACTACAAGTGCTGCCAAGGGGTGAGTTCAGGAGTTGGAACCTCCATACAAATGTAAAAATAATCTTAGATGGGGCAGGCACTATAAGGTCTAAATAGCGGAAGGTAGGAAATGCTCACTTTATACAAGGTGTTCTCTGATTGGACGAGGCAGAGATCATGACATCATCCGCCCCTCCATCCCTGCCTTGTCCAATTTAGGAATGCCTTGTATTGTATAAAAAACATACAAGACATTCTCTGAATAGCAGAGGTGCTGAGGACATGACTCTGTGCTCAGTATACAGATGACAAATGTTACAGGGGTTCACGGCTGATTTGACAAGTCTGTATCTTGTCAATCAGTATCTATCCACACCTTGTCCTACCCACTGCCCTCTGGATTGACAGCACTGCTTCTGTTGTTAAATCCCTCCCACTGTGATCTGCAGTGTCTGGGAGGGGGAGTGTGTGAGATACAAATAAATGACCGTTTGACTCAGTCAGGAAAGGTAAAAGGAGATATTTTGTTTACCTTATGAGGCGTGTACATCACACAGTAACTGGATTTGGGATATTGTTTGGAATTGTATTGTATTGTGAAACTGGAGCGTTTAGTTGTAATTTAAAGTGTACGTATAGGCGAAACATTTTTAACCCTTTCGCTGCCAAGGACGTACGTCGTACGGAGCTACAAAAGTGCTTCCAGCTGGCCAGCTCAGTATGTCGTACGGACCTGGCATTTACAGTTCTACTATAAGCTGATGGTCGCTTTAGCGACCATCAGCTTATAGTAGAACTGTTCAGCAGACTGTCCCCTTTAAATTAATAGCTGTCATCAGCTGCTCACAAGCCTGAATTGCGGCCAGCTGCCGCTCGTTCCCGGGACCCCCCCGACCCCCCGACGGTGATTTTTTAATGGATCCCCGCTGCCACAGACCCTACAAGCAGTGGGGATCCATGGAGTCCCTCATCCCTCCCTGGGATGGCTCCAGGGAGGGATGAGAGACTCCAGATGCCGGCGGCCGGCAGTGGCGGTGCCGGCGGGGGGGG